GCATTTGCTTTAATGTTCCGTTAAAACGTTCACAGAGCCCATTGGACTGGGGGTGATACGCTGAATTTACAATAGGTTTCACCCCACATGCTCTCCACAACTGGTGAGTGACTTCTCTGTGAATTGGGTACCCTGATCCGAGATAATCTCCTTGTGGAACCCCATTCTGGAGAATATCCGGATCAGGGCATCCACTATAGTTTCTGCATGGATATTAGTTAGGGCCACTGCCTCTGGGTACTGGGTAGCATAGTCTACTACTCAGGTCAAGTCCTGGGGAAAAAAGTGTGGGAACTCACCCAAGATTCCCGCCGTCCCCCCCCCCTTTAAAAAAAAAAAAAATTACACTCCTATGCATATAGTGCAGTGCAGGGTGTGTATAATTAATGCAGTGTGTTTTTAGTGAGTGCAGAGTGTGTACACTGAATGCAGTGTGTTTGTAGTGAATGCAGAGTGTGTATAGTGAATGTAGTGTGTAGTGAGTGCAGAATGTGCATAATAAATGCAGAGTGTGTATAGTGAATGCAGAGGGTGTATAGTGAATGTAGTGTGTTTGTAGTGAGTGAAGAGTGTGTATAATGAATGCAGTGTGTGCGTGTGCATGCTGGATGACGTGTGTGTGAGTGCTGGATGATGTGTGTGTGTGTGCTGGATGATGTGTGTGTGTGTGCTGGATGATGTGTGTGTGTGTGCTGGATGATGTGTGTGCGTGTGCTGGATGATGTGTGTGCGTGTGCTGGATGATGTGTGTGTGAGTGCTGGATGATGTGTGTGTGAGTGCTGGATGATTGTGTGTGTGTGTGTGCTGGATGATGGGTGTGTGTGTGCTGGATGATGTGTGTGTGTGTGTGCTGGATGATGGGTGTGAGTGCTGGATGATGGGTGTGTGGAGTGGGATGGATGATTTCCAGGTGTGTGTGCTGGATGATGGGTGTGTGGAGTGCTGGATGATGGGTGTGTGTGCTGGATGATGGGTGTGTGTGTGTGCTGGATGATGTGTGTGTGTGTGCTGGATGTGTGTGTGTGTGTGCTGGATGATGTGGGTGTGTGAGTGCTGGATGATGGGGGTGTGTGTGATGGATGATGTGTGTGTGTGTGTGCTGGATGATGGGTGTGTGAGTGCTGGATGATGGGTGTGTGTGTGCTGGATGATGGGTGTGTGTGTGCTGGATGATGGGTGTGTGTGTGCTGGATGATGGGTGTGTGAGTGCTGGATGATGGGTGTGTGTGTGAGTGCTGGATGATGGGTGTGTGAGTGCTGGATTGTGTGTGAGTGCTGGATTGTGTGTGAGTGCTGGATGATGGGTGTGTGTGTGAGTGCTGGATGATGGGTGTGTGAGTGCTGGATTGTGTGTGTGCTGGATGATGTGTGTGTGTGCTGGATGATGTGTGGGGGGGGAAGCATTTTTTTACTTTATGTATATTTTTTATTTTATTCCCCCCTCCCTGCTTCTTACCTTGTCAGGGAGGGGGGAGATCGCCTGGTGGTCCGGTGGTATGCTGGAGCCAGCCGCTGCACAGAGGGGCCATCACACGCTGTGTTCCCTCTCCAGCTCTAACTCTCGCGAGACTCGCCTGTGCGGAGCGTTGCCATGGTAACAGCCGCGGGTCTCGCGAGAGTTATAGCTGGAGAAGGAACACAGCGTGTGCTGGCCCCTTTGTGCAGGTAGCAGGGCCGGTCCTGCAGGACAGGTAACGGGAACGGCGTTCCTGCTTTGGAAAAAGTGCAGGAACGCCGTTCCCATGCGTTCCTGCAGGACTCGAGCCCTGTATATAGATTATTATTAAATAGGGATACCATAAATATTGTATTTAAAATACTGGAAATTGTAATATATCTAACTATTAAAGGTTATGTTCAATTATTATTTTTTTATTCCTTCTACCTTGTGGTCCCTTTGCTTGTTTGCTTACATGACTTCTATATCCTTCAATGTTGCTTTGGAATTAGCATGGTTTTGTTTCCTACTGAATGGGGTAGGGAAAGAGGGTCACACCTTGATGTATTCTCAAAGATAGATGTAGTTATGGTGATATTTGAATATATAAAAGAAAAAAAAAATACAACAAACTATAATGGAGTATATTCTGTAAAGATAAATTTAGAAGAAGTGCACTTACTGAGTGGAGGGCTCAAGTAACTTTTTTTTTTTTTGTCTTGGAACAAAATAAAAGGGGGTACAGAACGAAGAAAAAGGAGGTGGAAGTGTTACATCCATTGCATGTACTACGACATGTAATCAGAGTGACATTCTTGTGTGGCCCAGTCACAAGTTTCTATCATAGAGCATGACATTGTAATAGTTTGCGATTTGTCTCATGGTAACACAATGACAATACATTTCACTACTTTTAACAAGATGTTTATGCCCACAAATATAGAACCGACATTATATAAAAAGAAAGAAACAATAATTTAGGAACAATGTGGGTTTTGTCGATCTTGACCCTGTGTAGTAGGTTAGTTTGTACCAAAAGGTAGCCTAGAGACTAGGGGCTTTGTACTTTAGAACTACTTTCAGTATGGCCAGTTCAATTGTGCCCTTGATATGAAGGATTCCTTTCTCTCCGTGGAAGGTACAGGTGTGAATTTTTTTTAATTTTATTTTTTAGGTGCCATTATGCTGCCTGAAAATGACTAACCCCATGCCTGGTTACTTATCACATTTTTGGTTTACAGTTATCCAAGGGTACCCAATTTCCATTAGTCCAACAGATTCCATGCTACCAAGGATGTCTTATTGATGTGTATCGAGTCTCGTAATTTCTCTGTGTGTCAATTTCTGCAAGTAAATTTGCCTCGTTGGGCGGTATGGTGGATTTCCAAGCCCTCACAAAGAACTCTTGGGCTGATAAAATAAGCTGTAAGATCAGCTTCCATTTTTATTTAAGAATTGATTTGGGGAGGTCCAATAGGAGAAATGTTAGGGCCTCAAAATTTATGAAGCTACCTGTTGTGTCTTATTACGTCATGGACTTTTCCCCAAAAGGATACTGTGGGAACCCATTGCCACCACACATGAAGCATATTACCCTCTGCACGGTGACATCTCCAACAATTAGAAGTGTTGGGAAAAATGGCAGGTAATTTGGTCGGTACCAAGTACCACCTGTACAACACTTTGCGCTGTTCTATATGTACTGAGGATTTATTTAGCCCCACAGGAGTATTAACCATTGAATCCCATTGTTTGGGGTTTTTGGAGCAGCAGAGCACTTTGCCATTGTTTGACAAGTTTGGTTTCTGAGAAGGGAGTATTATCCAAAATCCATCTATAGCACATGGAGAATGGTTTACAGTGCTGGTTGTATTTTGAGAAATATTGTTGGGATACCTTCCCATACAGTTATGGCATAGGAAGGACCTAAGTTGAATGTAAGAGTAGTTTGAGGTCTGGGGCAAGGCATATTGTCTGGCTAGAGAGTCAAAATCTGAGATATTGTGCTGCTGAAACAAGTGGTAGAGATGTGTTATCCCATCTCCATGCCATGGCTTCACCTGAAAAGTTGGTATACAATAGGTCAGGGCCTTTATCAGGGTCACCAAAGATAAGCAGTTTGTGTTGCTCAATGTGTGTCTGTATTTTCCCAAACTTGTAAATACAAAAGACTATACGTGAGGGGGAGGTCAGGTGATTGCAATACTGTTTGGGCACCTATATCAGGTGAGCAATATCACAGGGGCTCAGAAATGATTATTCCAGGGTGACCCTTTATGGTTGGGGAAAAAGAGTGATAGGTCCGTGGCCAATATAGTCGCGTGGTAGTATAGTCGTACATTAGGTATATCTAGGCCTCCTTTCCTGGTAGGGGCTGGTATTATTTTACGTGGTACTCTAGGCTTTCCACCCGCCCAAATGAATCTATACATATCATTGTGAATGGTTTTAAAATATGATAGGGGTAGGAATATCGGCAGAGTCCTAAATACATTGGGAAGTATGTACATCTTAAATGCCACAACATTTTGTCAATGTCTAGAAGAGGGGAGGCCAATTTTTGTAACATTTGCTTACACAAATTCCAGACCTTAATATAATTCCAGACCTCAATGTAATTAGCAGGATAGAGGTCTGCAGTATTTTTTGAAACTGTCAAACCCAGATATTTGATATTGTCTGTCCTCCAATCAAACTCATAGATTGAGCGCAAAATGTTCAATGTTTGTGATTTTGGGAGGAAGTGATGTAAGACGTGGGAGAAACCCATGTATAAACCCCTGCATACATTGAGAGGGAGAACGCCAGATGATTAGTGACAGCTGACTGCTAGCAACTCAAACCCGACTTCAGCAGAATTAGTGGAGCTTCGGCGAGAATTTACTCCTCAGAACCTACTGCAAGGCTTGGGAGGGGTTGGAGCAAGTGGAGACCTGTTTTGAAAATCCTCAGATAAACTGAGAACAGGTCAAGAGAGAAGAGTGCGAAAGTGAGAATCGAAGTCTCATAAATATGGATCTGTGCTCCCTCAGTCAGTTATCGATCGAGAAAGAAGGGGCAGAGACTGAAAACAAAAAGTGGAGTGGGGGAAAGAAAAAGGGGGAAAAAATGCTGAGTTGGGGGAGGCATAAGAAAAGTTATGTAAAAAGATATATATATATATATATATATATATGACAACTAAAAAGGGGGAAAGAAGAAAGAGGTTCCCAGAATAGGAAAAATTTTATCTGGATTCCTGAAGTGAACTCACTGCTTAGTCAACATGACAAAATGTACCCTGGTGTATTACCCTCCCCTTTCAAAGTTCCTCCACTTTAAGTCATCACCTGCCTGAACTGAGAACCTGAAAAAATAATTATCTCCAACTCACTATCGGTCTAGTTAAAGGGCTGACAGTAAGACACAAAATGGCCACACAAAAAAAGCTGTGAAAGTAGACAAACCGCTAAAAGAGGGGAAAAAAGCAAGATATTAAATTAACTAAAGAAAAAATGTTAACATCAGTGTTCTCTCCTCCAAAATAGAAAATCTAGCGGGCAAGCAGAAATGTCTCTGAGCCTAGAGTCGAATAACTCAACAGAGCACGAAATTGAATACCCATCGGATCAGATTAATAAAACAGAAAGTCAGCTTCCTCTCTTAAAAGAAGAGTTTCATAAAATCTTGGATCAACAGCTGAAGATTGTAAAAGAAGAATTAAAAGAAAACTTCCAGAAAGGATTAGAGTCCCAATTACATCTAATTAACGAAGAACTGAATGAATGTTTTACAGAAATCAAGGAAGAAATACAACAGATGGCTGTCAAGATTCAAACCAATGAAAATTAAATACAAAAATTAAGAAACCATGGAAAATAAAGAACAGATGGAAATTTACAAGAATAAACTTGTAGCTTTGTAAATAAAAGTAACAGATTCTGAAGATCGTGCTCGTGGATAGAACCTCCGTATAAGAGGGATTCCTGAAGAAATTGTCTATCTAATGGATCTGTTTAAAGAACTGGGATACAAGAGATCTTACAGCATATCGACTGGCATAAACTCCTTAGTGATAAAAACACTGAGAATAAATGGAAACTATTCAAACAAATATTAGAAAGGTACATTTCTCAGTATGTACCATTGGGTAATAAATATAAAAGAAACAAATTAAAACCAATGTGGCTAAGTAGAGAAGTAAAACGAGATTAAAAATAAGAAAAGGGCATTTAAATCAGACAAATCAAAGGCATCCTATTTAACCTATAAGGAAGCCAATAACGCTTGCAAAAAGGCAATTAAAGTGGCTAAACTAGAAAATGAGAAATTGATAGCTAAAGAATGCAAAACCAACCCCCAAAAATTTTTCAAGTACATCAATTCTAAAAAAACAAAAAAATGAAAGTGTAGGTACACTTGAAACAGAGTTGGGTTTATTAGCTAATGAAGACCAGGAAAAAGCAGACATTTTAAATAACTATTTTTCTTCAGTATATATTAAGGATCCTATGGCAAGAGATATGCAAATGATTGCTGCAAAAAACTTGCAAATAACTTGTGATTGGATAACTCGAGACAAGGTGCTACAGCTATTAAAGAAAATTAATGTAAATAAAGCTCCTGGGCCTGAAGGTATTCACCCACGAGTACTTAAGGAGCTAAGTGAGGAAATAAGTGAACCTCTGTATTTAATTTTTCAAGATTCTTTTGTTTCAGGTGTTGTACCGGAGGATTGGAGGAAGGCAGATGTTGTTCCTATATTTAAAAAGGGTTCAAAATCCTTGCCTGGAAATTATAGACCTGTGAGCTTAACTTCTGTAACTGGGAAAATATTTGAAGGGCTATTAAGGGATAATATTCAGGAATTCATTATGAAGAACTTTATTAGCAATAATCAGCATGGTTTTATGAAACATCGGTCATGTCAAACTAACCTAATTGCATTCTACGAAGAAGTAAGTAGAAATATAGATCAGGGTGTTGTAGTGGATGTGATCTACTTGGATTTTGCCAAGGCATGTGATATGGTTCCTCACAATAGGTTAGTCTTCAAACTAAAAGAAATTGGTCTAGATGAATATTCTTGTTTTTGGGTAGAACATTGGCTTAAGGATAGAGTACAGCGAGTTGCAATTCATGGTAAATTTTCAGGCTGGACAAAAGTGGTAAGTGGTGTCCCTCAGGGTTCTGTTTTGGGACCACTTCTATTTAACATATTTATAAATGATCTTGAAATAGGCATTGAAAGCCATGTATCGGTGTTTGCAGATGACACAAAACTTTGTAAAGTAATAAAATGTGAGCAGGATATTGCTTTGCTGCAGAGAGATTTGGATAGATTGGGGGACTGGGCACTAAAATGGCAGATGAAATTTAACATAGAGAAATGCAAAGTTATGCACTTGGGGTTAAGAATGCACAAGCAACTTACACACTAAATGGTAGTGAATTAGGGATAGCCACACACGAGAAGGATTTGGGAATTGTTATTGACAACAAATTAGGCAGCAATATGCAATGTCAATCTGCAGTTGCTAAGGCCAGTAAGATTTTGTCATGGATAAATAGGGATGAAAATATAATTCTGCCTCTTTATAAATCGCTGGTAAGACCACACCTTGAATATGCTGTGCAATTTGGGGCGCCTGTTCTAAAGAAGGATATCATGGCACTGGAGAGGGTCCAGAGACGAGCTACAAAATTGATAAAAGGAATGGAGCGTTTTAGTTATGAAGAAAGGTTAAAAAAATTAAATCTGTTTAGTTTGGAAAAACGGCGCGTGAGAGGGGATATGATAACTTTATACAAATATATTCAGGGCCAGTACAAACCTTTATCTGGAAATCTATTCATAAACAGAGCTATACATAGGACACGAGGTCACACATTTAGGCTGGAAGAAAGGAGATTTCATCTAAGGCAAAGAAAAGGTTTTTTTACAGTAAGAAGAATAAGGATATGGAATTCTCTGCCTGAAGATGTGGTTTTGTCAGAGTCCATACAGATGTTTAAACTGAAATTGGATAAATACTTACAAAAACATAACATACAGGGATATAATTTCTAATTATTGGTCTAATAGCTGTTTGATCCAAGGAGACATCTGACTGCTATTTTGGGGTCAAGAAGGATTTTTTTCCTAATTTGTGGCAAAATTGGAAGCGCTTCAGCCCAGGTTTTTTGCCTTCTTTTGGATCAACAGCAACAACATTTGTGAGGAAGGCTGAACTTGATGGACGCAAGTCTCTTTTCAGCTATGTAACTATGTAAATGAAAATATAATTGAAAGTGCTCATAGATCGCAGAAACCTAAGAATATCCCTAAAGACATTCCACAAGATATAATTATACATTTTTCTACCTTCTTTATTAGACAGAAAATATATCTGGCATTTAAATATTTCACTACAGAAACTGATAGATTTAGCAATTTAAAAATGTTTCAATATTTATCAAATGAAACTAGATCAGAGAGATGATCATATAAATTCTTTACAGATATCCTAAGAGATAAAAATATAAAGTACAACTGGGGTTTTCCAGTTAAGATCTACCTTAATTATGAGGAGGTTTCTTACATTATTTATGATGTTAGTGAAGCCAGGAAATGGATAGAAACTCATAATCAGAACCGGCCAAATTTTAAAAAGCAAATAGAGTATAGGGGTAAAGAATATGGTGAACTATTTAGGAGACTGTGGATGAAGAAAAAAGAAGTAATAAACTTAATTAATATGTTTCCTTTATAGGGAATAAAGGGGTAGGGGGTGGTAGGGAGATAGGGAAACCTTTTTTAGGCTGATTTCACCTACTTATCACTTTTAACAATGTCACGTGAATAAATGAATAAAGACATATACATTTTGAATATTAAGAAAGGGAAAGTAAAGTATTAAGTAAAAAGGCAATTTGAAACACAATTGAGAAAATAAGGGAATAAGGTTATAGAGAAAATATGAAATTAAATATACATTTAAATATATAATACATGTCACAAAGAATTATATTGCACATATAAAGAAATATACAAACACTTAAAATGCACTGTAAAGATATGGAAGCTACACAATTAAGAAATAAATACTTTCCCATCCTTGAACACTCATCTCTACAAAAAGTTAAAAAGAGAGGTGTAGCCCTAATGGTCTCAAATACAGTGAAATATGAAGAGATCTATAAATTAACAGATAAAAAAGGTAGATACCTTTTCTTAATCTGCATGTTGAATGATAAGATGTACTCCTTGCTGAAGATTTGTTCCACCAATAAGAGACAGATGCATTTTTTAAACGGGATCTTAGCTAAAGTAAATGATTTGATACAGGGGTCCTTCTTATGTATGGGGGAATTTAATTGCGTTACAGATCCCAATATAGACAGAAGGACACAAAAAGGCAAGAAATTAGACTCTGTATCTAAAAATCTAGCAACGGCTTTTCAAGAGACACTTGCAAAATTTAAGCTTTATGACGTATGACTTATGGCGTACCTTGAACCCACTGGATTCAGATTTTACATATTTTTCAAAATAATTTCAATCTTATTCAAGGCTGTATATGTTCCTAACCACTGCTGATTAAATAAGAAATTGCCACAATAGTACGATAAGCTCCTTTGCATGGTCTGATCATGAACCGCTTATATTGAATATTAAGACCTTATATACAATGGATAGGAATTAATGAAGAATTAAAGATTTTCTTCTAGAAATTCCTAACAATCATAAAGAATTAAGCAATTGAACGGATAACTATTTTAAATAAAAACTGAAATAAAGAAATAAACATACCTAAGGCCTGGTGCACTTCTAAATGCGTCATTCGAGGGCATCTAATAAAGATACAACATAAAAAGAAAGGACAAAAAGAAACATCAGATCTTTACATTGACCTATATAAATTAAATACAAAAAATTAAATAAATCCATATTTAGAAACAACAAATCAAATAAGTAAAATCAAAGATGTGAAGAACTGATGTTGAGCGCAAACAGACTATTGGTAAGATTTAAACAAAAATGTTATTACCTTGGAAACAGAGCAGACAAACTCTTAACAAATCAATTAAAGAAGGAGCATGCTAAAGCTAGGATCATAAAAATTAATACAGATAAAGGAGTATCCTTAAAGCGGCACTGTCATGCCAAATCCTGTTTTTTTTTGTTTGTTTTTTAACCCCCCTCCGGCCTCCACTATCTCTGACACCCTAGTCACCCCCAAATGCCCCTAAGCCCCCCACATTACCTATTTTTAATTCCTTATTTTCTGCCCTGATCTTTATTCAGGGCGCAGCCATCTTTATGTGGGTAGATGAAGTCCCTGTGGGACACGTCATCTGCCCACACTAGATAGCGCTGAGATTCCCGCACAAGCCCAGTGAAACACCTGGACATGCGAACGGGAATTTCATCTATTCACTCATTCATCAGACAGACGAATGAGTGAATTGAAATATCAGCCGAACAAACAAACACTGAGTATCAGTGTTCGTTTGTTTGTTCAGTTTATTACAAGGAGGGAGCTACCAGCACGCAGCTCCCTCCTTGTAATATGTAAAGATAGAAGCGGCAGGGAGCAGTGCTCTCCACCACTTCATAAGCCCCCCAGGTCCCCTCTCACTCTATGGGGGTCAATATGAGCCCCATAATAGCACAAGGGAGATTAAAATCTCCCCAATGCCCCTGCCCGCTATACCGCAAGTAGGGGTATATCCACTAAACAGTGTAAAAAAAAACAAAAGAAAAAAACTATTGGCCCCCACCCCTAAATGACGGGTGGGGACCCTAAAGTAAAATAAGGGGGCAGACCTATTGTCCCCGGCCCCCACCCCTGGGTGGCGGGTGGGGGCCATAATGATAATGAGGGGGGGGACCTACTGTCCACCCCCCCACGGGCCCCACCTCTTGGTGGCGGGTGGGGGCCATAAAGATAATGGGGGGACCTACTGTCCACCCCATCAGCCCCCACCCCTGGGCAGCAGGTGGGGGCCCTAAGTCAATTCCCTACCCCCCCAATGTGACTAGGGGTCCCCAAGCCCCTAGTCACCCACCCCCCCACCCAAATAAAAAGTCCCTACCTACCCCACTCACCATAAAAAATAGTGAGGGGGGAATAAAATAACTAACCTGTAAAATAAAATTAAACTTACCACTTACCACTTACTTCTTTTTTCTCAAATCTTCATTTTTCAGCCCCAAAAAAGGCCAAATAAAAAACCATCATAACCATCGAACTTAAAATAAAATAAAAATCCCAAGCGAAAAAGAAAAAACCTGAGCGCAAAAAAATAGTCCATCTTCACCCATGGAGGGCTCCGCGCAAACTGAGCTCTGCAGGGCGGGGGAAGGCTTATAAAGCCTTGCCCCGCCCTGCAATTAGGCTAAGAACACTCTGATTGGTGGGTTTAAGCCAATCAGAGTGCTCTGTGTCATTTTACACAGCGTGGGAAAATTCTTTTGAATTTCCCCACGCTCTGTAAAATGACAAAGAGCACTCTGGCTTAAACCCATTAATCAGAGTGTTCTTAGCCTAATTGCAGGGCGGGGCAAGGCTTTAGAAGCCTTGCCCCGCCCTGCGGAGCTCAGTCTGCGCGGAGTCCTCCATGGGTGAAGATGGATTATTTTTTTGCAATCTGGTTTTTTCTTTTTCGTCTTTTTTTTTTTTTTGCGTCCGACAGTAGGTGTCCCCCCCCTCATCATTTGGCCCCCACCCGCAGCCGTGGGGGGGGGGTAGGAAAGTAGGTCCCCCCCCTCATTATCTTTATGGCCCCCTCCCGCCGCCCAGGGGTGGGGGCCGGAGGGGGGGGTGAACAGTAGGTCCCCCCTCATTTTTATTATGGCCCCCACCTGCCGCCCAGGGGTGGGGGCTGGTGGGGGGGCAGTAGGTCTCTTCCCCTCATTATCATTATGGCCAATTTAGGTCTTTCAGCCTTTTAGTAGATAACTCCCTGATACCGTGGGAATTAGGGAGTTATCTACTAAGCGGCTGCAAGATGCAGCCACAGCCCGAATAGGATCGGAGTTTCATTCATTAAAATGAAATTGCGATCCGAATAAAGTGCCGAATTGCGTTCTAAAAGAAACGAACATACTGTTCTCATTCAGTTAGAATGCAATTCGGTAGTTTCGTGTAAAATGACAGGAAGCATCGCGCGAACACAGAGGAAAGGTAAGAATTATGGGAAAATTGCTCTGACCAGCGGAAATGAAGCACACTTTGCTCCTCCGCTGGTCAGAGCTGGTCAAGCGGAGGAATCCTCAATAAGGCAAAGAGTCCCTATTTTGTCTTATGATTTTAAAGAAAAGTAAAGACAGGAAGAAAAGAACAGATCCTGAGAGAGGCGGAGAAGAGGAAGAGATTGAGGAAAGGTAAGTTCGGCATGACAGTGCTGCTTTAACCACAAAGGACATAGGGCATGCCTGTTTGGATTATTATTCATCGCTTTATAATATCCCAGCTGATACACAAAATAAGATAGGCATTGAGAAATATTTAAAAGGACTTAAATTACCAACTTTAAATTCAGAAGAAAATTCTAAATTAGAATCCCCATTTAATACTAAAGAGGTTCAAGAAGCAGTAGCCAGATTAAATAATAATAAATCTCCAGGACCAGACGGTTTTACAATTGTTATTTTTTAATTTTTTTTTTAAATGTCAGCTATCATATCTCCATATCTTTCAGATACATTTAATGAAATTAAAGGACTACTATAGGCACCCAGATCACTTCAGCTCAATGAAGTGGTCTGGGTGCCAGGTACATCTAGGGTTAAAGGACCACTCTAGGCACCCAGACCACTTCAGCTTAATGAAGTGGTCTGGATGCCAGGTCCAGCTAGGGTTAACCCATTTCTTCATAAACATAGCAGTTTCAGAGAAACTGCTATGTTTATCAATGGGTTAAGCCTTCCCCTATTTGCTCTAGTGGCTGTCTCATTGACAGCCACTAGAGGCGCTTGCGTGCTTCTCACTGTGATTTTCACAGTGAGAGCACGCCAGCGTCCATAGGAAAGCATTATGAATGCTTTCCTATGTGACCGGCTGAATGCGCGCGCAGCTCTTGCCGCACGTGCGCATTCAGCCGACGGGGAGGAGAAGAGGATTTAAACCCCTTTCCCCCTTCCAGAGCCGGGCGGGAGGGGGACCCTGAGGGTGGGGACACCCTCAGGGCACTATAGTGCCAGGAAAACGAGTATGTTTTCCTGGCACTATAGTGGTCCTTTAACCCTGCAGCTGTAAACATAGCAGTTTCAGAGAAACCGTCAGAGACTGGATTCACATTTCCTTGGTGAGTAACATACCAAATAAGTGCTGTTAATTTAGCAAAACAATACTTTTGTTCTTCCACCGTGAGTACCCCTGCAATTTTGTTTTAATATTTTAAGTTTTTTTTACCCGTGAGCACTATAGCTTTACTTTTGTTTTATCTGAATAAACCACCATGGCATCTGCTTACAAGTCCACAGAGTCCTTTGGTGGCACATATATCCTGAGCCAACCTTACTGCATGAAGGCCCCACACCTTTGAGCACTTTATTGAAGAGGAGACCAGTTCTCCTCAGACGGGGATTATACTGCCCAGGCACAACAAAGTAAAGCTATTCGAGCTTTAAGTGCACTCAGAAAGTGCTCTTCTTAATTTATAGATACAGATTATACTACACTATATTTTTCTGTATTTTTTTTTTTTCTTTTATATATTCAACTACCACCAAAACTACATTTATTTTTGAGAATACACTAAGGTGCTACCCCCTCTTCCTACTACATGCATTTTCTCTTGGAACGGAATAGAGAGACTTTTGTTTGGGTGTTTGAGCTGCCTATCTACCTCGACTTTACGTGCTAGAAACCTATATTGTTAATGTTCATTTCCTACTGGGTTAACTGTATTTCATGTCATCAAGTCTTAATTACTGAGAATGTACTAGTGCCTTTTTTGTTTGTTCAGTAGATCATACTTTATTTTTGTAGGTGTTGTCCGCTGTACTAATATGAAAAAAGCTAAATCCCAGGCTTCAGATGAAAATATGATTGGACAAGATTTGGATACAGAACAGGAAGAAAGGCAGAGTTTAGAACGTAAATGTGGCATTCTGGAAAATATTCAGTAAGTATAATCTATTTGTTCATTATGGAATCCTTTTAAAAGACAAAAATATTATAATATTTGTTTGAAACGTTAATAAAAAAAAAAAATTTTAATTAAATTTTGGAATTCATATAAAATTTTGATTTTAAAAAGTTAGCTTAAAGTAGCATTCAAAGGTTTTTTGTTTTTTTTTATGATTCTGCATTTATGTTTTAAACGAACAACTAAATAGGAAGTACCCCACCGTGACATTCAGAGAAGAATTAAGTGTCAAAGTGAGAACCAGTAGTCCTAGGCACCTAAGTGAGACTCCAGGGTTCTGTAAGGGCTTAACCCTATAATAAATATACAAGGAAGAGAAATAATACATTGCCTCTCATACAAACATCGCATGACTTTTATGCGATGTTTTTATGAGAGTCAATGTATTATTTCTCTTCCTTGCATTTATGTTTTAACTAATTGATTTTCTTTTGTTCTTAACCCCTTAAGGACACATGACATGTCATGATTCCCTTTTATTTCAGAAGTTTGGTCCTTAAGGAGTTAAACTAACTTTTAGTAAACATTTTCTTTCTCTGCAAAGCAATACTAATGTTCTGGACCAAACCAAGTGTTTGCTTGAATATCTGCCCCTGTCTAAATGGTTTAAATGTAATAAGCATGCTCGCCGAAGAAATCACACTGACGCAGAAAAGTTCAGTTAAATGAAAACTTCCAAGTGTATTGTCAGGGGGCAGGTAGCCCCTTAAAAAGGCAAAAGAATGCAACGTGTACAAATACAGAAAGTAAAACTTTTCAATTGTTTAAGGGTTAGATATTAGTAAAAGTAAACATTTAATTGGTTAGGTATTAAGTGTTTTATCTTGATGTACTTCCTCCAAGGTGTGATGTCATCATTGTCTTTGTGTGTAGCTCCGGATGGAGATGCCATCTTGCTCCACGAGGGTCTTAGTCGATGGGAGGGGGTGATCTAGCAGCCATTTTGAGTAATAAATGAACACAGGTATACATAGTAAATAGACATTTTACACACATTAATTTCTATCCATCACACTAACTGCAGAAATTCAGTATTTGGTAGGACATTATTGCTAACGAATTTGGTCATTTTTGTATTGGGTGTGATTCAGCATAATCAATTGGACATTTTGACTTCGCTGTGATTGATTTAATGGTTTATAAAGGACGACTGTCACCTCAAAACTTTAATATAATAATCTTGTCATCAAGTTTTGTAATGTATTAGCTTTTTTTTAAATGAAATATATGTAAAAAAAAAAAAATAAATAAATAAAAAATCATCCCTAACTTTAGTATTTGATAGCATCCTTCAGCCACATACATGCCTGTGTTAGGCAGTGTTTGCAAATTTGAAAACCAGCAGTCCTGCACAGAAGCAGAAATGCCTCTAAAGGACCACTCCACACCTATAAAACACTTCTGTTTGCTTTATGGGCAAAGAGTATCCCATTATAATCCCATTAATCCCTTATAATGACACTTTATGAAAGTGTACCTTACTGTGAGAATTTAAACCTATTAGAAATAATGAAGGAAAAAACCCTGGTTGTCAATCAAATAGTTAGGGAGGTTTCTTCCTGCCTTTGTTAGCTTGCCTGACCTAATGGAAGGGGCAGATGCACTCTACTTGAGTGTGCCTTCCTCCCCCTACATACCTCCTGCCCTTAGATCAGAACATTGTGCAGTGTGCACAAAGGGAATCCTTCAGAGGCTTCTCAGTAACAAGTCTTTGTTAGGCTATTTTCCTATGAAGAGACTGTTAGACTCTTCTGGGGAAAAGGGGGAGGACTTGCAAAGGCTACATTTCTTAAGAACTGCAGCATTTGTAAGCTCTTTGAAGATATATCCCCAATGAATAAATGCATGAAAAATACATGTAATTATTAATTGAAGGGATAACTACTAAATAGGAATTTATACTCCTTTGTCCCTTTGGGCTGTTTAATGTTCTTTTAAGGTATACAGTTGTTATAGGATGTGAATATAAATTAAGATATACATTTATGATGTAAAAGGCAAGTAGTCAAAACTGGCTCTATGGGTTTGGGTTGCTGGTGCTCTAAGCAGAATATGATTGACCTCTATACCCACACTATATATATCCTTATACCTCATTTACCATAATCCCCATTCAGTGCAGAGCGGGGAAACGGGAGTTCTTTCTAAGGCTGCAGTTCATAAGATCTGCAGCCTTTGGAAGCTCTTGTAAGATCTACCCCAATAAATATATACATGAAAACTTCATGCATATATTCATTGGGTTATATCTACTAAACAGGGATTTTCTTTTCCCCTTTTGGGCAGTGGAGTGTGTACAGTACAATCACTGCCAAGTATGGTCCCTTCTGCAGGGCATGCATTGATAGGAATATAGGATAACGGATATGGTGTCCGCTTAAAGGCAACGTTGCATGACCTGTAGTAACCTCCTGCTCACGTGTCCGGCACAGGTTTAAAACAATAGGAGAAGGACAAGCATAGGTGCATACACACATTAGAAAAGGTCCATGACGTTCCTGGATCCATATATGTCAAGATTTACCCTATGTATAACCAAAGCAACATGTCCTTTTTCCCTTCAATGAACCCTAGCCACAAAGCTCCACTACTACATCCTATGGTGGATCAGAACTTAATTTTCAATGAAGTCTATCTTACTGTAGAATTTATTGGCATAGCTGGGTCCATTTACAGAACTTAAATGGCAGTGCAAAAAAGGTTCCTCCCCATACTTTACATTCCTTTTGAAAAAGCAGGAAATATAGGTACCACATGGCTGTGTGTACTATCAAGTCCAAGGGATCCAGGAATTATGAGTCAAGGTGGTGGTAGGCAGATAGTGACCAGAGAGAGATTCCCTTGCCCTGGTAACAAAGGTTCCTTCTCATTTGACAGCAGGCTCTCTTTGGCTTTTTTTATGTAATTTAGAAACCACAAAGGCCTCCCAAAGTTAAACCCTGGTAAATCAGACCCAATGACAGTCTGTGGAAACCTTAAACATCTGCATTGTGTCTGTGTGTGTATTATGCTATAGCTAAAATAAAGAGGAAAACATTTTTTTTTTTTTAAATGCAAAATGCGTTGGAGAAAAAGTTTTAACGTAAATTCTTAAGGGAACACTCCAAACATCATAACCACTACAGCTCACTGTAAGGGTCATGGTGCCAAGAGTAGGGCTGTTGCAAGTTTTTTTGGCTACCCCGGCAAGGATGCCTTTTGCTTCCCCCTTAATTTAGAAAGAGGTACCATGTACACAAATATTGTAATTTTGGAGCTTCTTGATTCTCCTTTAATCGCGCACAATACTGTGATGTGTACTGCTGTCAAGCGCTGAGTTTTCTCAAGTACCTTGACCGCCTTGGAATTAAAATTCATGCAGTGCACGTGAGTGTATCACAGAGCACCCCATCTTGACAGAGCAGTCACTTGCCTACCGGCAATGGTGCCACAGAGAAAGGAGTCCCCACAACCTTGTGGAAAACAAGCAAAAAAACAGAAGTGGTGGACCGCGCTAGAATACAAAAATAGGTAATTAAATAATTTACATACAATCGATAAACTTCAGTACAGTGCATCTTAACAAAAAAACAGAGAAACATAATACTGCAATACAGTATAATATGATGTGCAAATTGTGTTCGCAAAACGAATGGAACACTCATACTTTGTAGTGCTAATATAGCTGTCTAAGGATACAATAGTGTAATCCAGAAGTCTTGGTCCCAGACATGAATATATGTAGAGATATATAAACAGAGAGAACTCCAATAGTGTAATACGGTATTTAAAAATAAAGGTATTAAATAAAGTATTCTACATACAATACCCAGATCACAAACCTGCTCTGATATATACAGGCTTGGGTAGAATGATTCCCACCTATTGATATACTGGATGTCCAGGGAGCCAAAATAAAAATTCAATAGCATTGCAAGGACTGAATATATTGAATTTAAAAAGTACTTTATTTTACAATAATGTATCAGTCCACAATGGAATTGAACAGTCTTTGGGTGTATATATTTGCCATCCTGAGGAAGCCTCCTGATGTGAGCTGAAACGTTGATGTATATTCTTTTATTTGATATATGAATTAAGTTATATTTTATTTACATTATCAAAGACCCTGGAGTGCATTCCATTTTCATATAAATGTGTGTGTGGGAGGGGCTTGGATCCCCTATAAAAGGGCTGCCAATCCTCTCTCACCTTACCATTGCTGGTCTGATGAGTCTGAAATGATTACTTCCTGTTCAGACCGCCATTTTGAATTTCTTACCTGTATTCCTCTTGGTCCAACGCTTCCCAACCTCTTCCAACAGTCGCTGGCGTCCGCGCAGCCCTTTATCAGCACTAACACTGGGTTAAAACTGTAAGTCTGGCCCCTACCCATAAAGCAACGGCCACAAACCTTGCTCGCTTTCATGGTAGGTGCTCCGTTCGTTTGAACCATGCTTTCGGCTTATTCTATCAGCATTTGTGGCACTCACGCCATTCGGCTAAATTTTTGTATGCATATTTCCTATGTACACATGTTTCACATCACCATTTCACACGAACGCGACCGTTCGTTCACATATTACTGTACAAGCTTCGGTATTTTCGTTGTGATACAAACCGCACTTAAAGGACGCATTTCATTTGTATGATTTAGGTTTTACACGCATCCCTCTTTGTCTTTCGGTTGTTACAGCCATACACAGGGCTAAATGCACAAATCGCACCTAATTAGCCAATACAACATTTTGCCCCTACTGGTTACAAATGATATTAGTCATTTAAATTCCATTTATTGGTTAAAGTATAGGTGGAAGTCTGGATTTTATAAGCTGATATCCCTGACCTTTTTTTCCACAGGTCCATATCAGGGATTCCGTGCTTAAGGTTTTTAAAATTGTGATTACTGACAACTGTGTCAAATTATATTTGCTTTCTAGGTTGGTTGGAATTAGTTTGTTATAATTATGCTTTTGGCTAAATTATACGTGGTAATTTAGTAAGCATGTACAATTTACTTTCTTAGGTTCCTGAACTTCAGACGGTAGCTTTACAAGCACGAGAAAACAGTCATCTTCCTTTGTCTTATTACTACCCTCTGCATAGTCTGACCGGCTAATACTATACGCATAGTCGCTTATGTCATATTCATGTCCATAGGTCTGAGCACGATACTATTGCCATATTACTATATCTCTACATAGACATCTCGTCCTGACTCATCATATCAGATACTACACCTGAACCCAGTGCCTTTCTAGTTTTAGAGTGGTACTGGTTTAGGTTAAGCTAGTGCGATGCCTACTCCCATCCTCATACTCAGAGGCATACGTCACTCGGGCCAAATCATAGTTAGCCACCTCGCATGGTCGCATAGAGAGGGCCTCACCGGTCACTCCCATTCTATCTTATGCTTTGTCACCGAGAGGCCAACATCCCGCCACAACATTTTGGTGGCCTCATACTTTCCCCTCGGACCAACGCATAGGTACCTCTCAGGCTGCTTGGCAATTAGTAGGGACTCCTCTGTCACTTCACAAAGTATAATTGCGTCGCCGCTTGGTATCTAGCTAGCCTCGCCAGTACCCGCCCACTTCATTACAGGATCATGATTCAGTTACTTTATATTTTTCAGTTATGTCGCAAAATCCTGATATCCCTGAAGAACTATCACGACCCAGCACGCCTGCTAGGCCTGGTACCTGGAACTGATGTTAATAGTCCTCCTTCCCTAAGATCATGGACCATCCCACGTCTCACAGCAGAACTAAGAATACGTTGCATCCCTTACCCAGCTACCGCTAGGAAAACGGAATTGTTTAGACTTTTAAACGCTACTACTGATAACTCAGATGCGGGGGAAGGCCCTAGTGGGACTCAGTTGACTGCTTTTCACGCTATGATGATGTCACTAATGTCATCCATCGGCACCATTAGCGATAGGCTGGATAAATTGGAGGCAGGTTGCTCTACCCAGGCTCCTGCAAACCAAAATGTTTCCAGTCACCCACTCACTGATGCCCGGTAATTCTTTAGCATCTATTTCATTCCTCAAATCTATTAACCCCTCGCACATGGTCTCATCTCATCTTAAAAAGGACATTCTGGAGGGCAAGGATGTCAACCTGGTCTCGCTGCTCATTGCCTCCCAGGATGTCCTGGAGAATAGGACTTTTGCATACGGGGATATTTCAGTGGTCCTAAGGGCACCCCCGGTTGAGCAAAAAACTGTCCATCCCTGAATTTGTGCTGGGTTTTGGAATTTATAAGGACGTCTACTGCTCATTATACCCTGAGAAAAGTGCTGAGTTAGACGTATACATGCACAAGATGGTGGATCTGGGGCACAGATACGGTGGTACTGCTTTTTATGATAACCACCGTTCCTTCTCTGCAAAGGTGGCTGCAGCTCTGACTCAGTTCAATTTAAGCATAAATTGGAGCAAATTGGACACAGTTATTCTGCAGACACTTTGCAGGCCTCAGACTCCCAGCTTGTGCATCTAATGCACATAGCACCAATTGCTTCCCAAATACGGCTGAAACTGAACAGGGCCTAGCTGTCCCAAATTTCCAAAGACCTGCCAGAGGCTTAAAGGACAAATTTTGTAGGGATATTATATTCCTAGGCAAATCCCAGATTTGTAATAATTTTAATGCGGAAATTGTGGTTTTAGCGCCTGTAGGCTGATGCATGTGTTTTCCCACTGTTTCAGCGCTCATTCAAGGACAATGTGCCCAAATAAAGCTTTTCCCAAACCGTATCACACGTGTGTGAACCTCAAGTTATTGGCTACTCTGTTACGACAACACCCTTCACACCATTTCATTGACTACATTATCACTGGACTAACTGAAGGTTTTCACACGAGGCCAATTTCAATAAGTTAAGGGAAGCTTTACAATATATTGACTGGCATAAACTCTCTAGTGAAAAGAACACTGAGGATAAATGGATCATCTTCCAACAAATATTAGAAAGGCATTTCTCAGTATGTACCATTGGGAAATAAATATAAAATAAACAATGTTGCTTAGTAGAGAAGTAAAACGAGATTAAAAATAAGAAAAGGGCATTTAAAGCATTTAAATCGGACAAATCAGATGCATGTTCTAAAAGATATAAGGAAGCAAATAATGCGTGCAAAAAGGCAATTAGATTTGCTAAACTTCAAAATTAAAAAATTATAGCTATAGAGAGCAAAACCAACCCCAAAGCATTTTTTAAGTACATCAATTCTAAAAAACCCAAAAATGAAAGTGTAGGTACACTAAAAACTGAAACGGGTGTGTTAGTTAATGAAGGCGAGGAAAAGGCAGGAATTTTAAATAACTATTTCTCCTCCATATATATTAAGGAAGAACCCATGGCAATAGATGAGCAAATGATTGCTACTAAAAACTTGCAGAATAATTGTAATTGGTTGACTCAAGACAAGGTTCTGCAGCAACTAAAGAAAGTTAATATAAACAAAGCTCCAGGGTCTGACGGTATCCATCCACGAGTACTTAAGGAACTAAGTGTAGAAATAAGTGAACCTCTGTTTTTAATCTTTCTAGATTCTTTTCTTTCAGGAAGTGTTCCGGAGGATTGGAGGAAGGCAGATGTGGTTCCTACATTCAAAAAGGGTTCAAAATCCTTGCCTGGAAATTATAGACCTGTGAGCTTAACTTCTGTGGCTGGGAAAATATTTGAAAGGTTATTAAGGGATAATATTCAAGAAGTCCTTGAGAAGAACATGGTTATCAGCAAAAATCACGGTTTTATGAAGCACAGGTCATGTCAAACTAACTTGATTGCGTTCTACGAAGAAGTAAGTAGAAGTATAGATCAGGGTGTTGCCGTGGATGTGATCTATTTGGATTTTGCCAAGGCATTTGATACAGTTCCACACAATAGATTAGTGTTCAAACTCAAGGAAATCTGTCTAGATGAAAATGCTTGTTCTTGGGTAGAACATTGGCTTAAAAACAGAGTACAAAGAGTTGTCATTAATGGTAAATTTTCAAGCTGGACAGAGGTGGCAAGTGGTGTCCCTCAGGGGTCTGTTCTGTGACCCCTTCTATTTAACACGTTTATAAATGATCTTGAAGACTGCATTGAAAGTCATTTTTCAGTGTTTGCAGATGACACAAAACTCTGTAAAATAATACAATGTGAGCAAGATATTACTTTGCTGCAGAGGGATTTAGATAGACTGGGGGACTGGGCACTCAAATGGCAGATGAAATTTAATGTTGAAAGTTATGCACTTCGGCGTAAAGAATACACAAGCAATGTATACCCTTAATGGAAGCCCATTAGCGATAACAACACACAAAAAGGCACAATCCAACTTGTGACTCAAAGTTGGTATGGATAGATATACCAGGGTCAATAGGGGAGATAGAGAGACCTAATAGAGCAATTGCATCAGAAATGGGACAGGATTAATAGCCATACTGCAAGTAGATCAAAGAAGGCTACCAATAGGGATATATATAGGACTGAGTCCACCCTATTGCTCCTGAATGAAACACCTTCAAGGGTGTTCTATGCTGTCCCTAGTAGTATATAACGAGAGCTCAACAAAGCTATAAAGCGGACAGTGCAGGTTCAGAGTTAAGTCCCCATTGCTCCTAAACCAAACACCTTCAAGGGTGTTCTATACTGTCCCTAAAGAGAAATGGAAACGAAAGAGGCTCCCTACCAATTGTCCCCTAGACCACATAACTCAATGCTGAAAAAATGAAAATAAAAATAATAAATCAAACACCTAGTGCCGCCATGTGTAAAAAAAAAAAACTAACAAAAGGACCCTACTAGATGCCCTACTCAGCTACTAGATGCATACTTGCCAAAACAGAATATTTCAATGTAGGGTAATAACTGCTTGATCCAAGGATAAATCTGACTGCCATTCTGGGGTCAAGAAGGAATTTTTTTCCTAGCTTATTGCAAAATTGTGCTTCTTTGCCTTCTTTTGGATCAACAGCAAAAAACAAATGTGAGGAAGGCTGAACTTGATGGACGCAAGTATCTTTTCAGCTATGTAACTATGTAACACCGGGTTGGTTCACTTGCCAACCGGTACACTAGAATGTGACTATTTACAATCCTCATTAGACGATCCGCAGTTAGTACACATACTTATCGTCACTGAGGTGAAACAAGGGTTTTTGTTGGGTCCGTTCATTTCCCACCCTTCACATCCTGGAGAACCAATCCCATAGGGGTTGTCACAGGGAAAACTTCACTCAAACCTAGACTGATAATTGATATGTCAGCACCACATTCCTCCACTATCCCCAGCCTTAATTCACTCATACCTTCCGAAGAATTTTCATTACACTATGTCACTATCAATCATGCCATAGGGGCCATTTTAAAGGCTGGTACAGGTGCATGGTTAAGTAAAACTGATGTGGTAAATGCCTTCAAATTGCTTCCCATGCACCCTTCCCTGTGGCATCTTAACAGCATTAAATGGCAGGGTTTGTATTTTTTTCTTCACACGTCTCACTTTTGGCTCCAAAGGCAGCCCGAGAATTTTTGACACGTTTGCGGAATCTTTGTGTTGGTTGTTACTTAATGTGTGTAGATGTCCTTCGGTTATTCACTACCTAGATGATTTCCTCACGATTGAGAATAGCACACTCCCCCCTCCTCCCCCAAGTAGCCTGACACACATGTTGGCTCTGTTTGAATCCCTCACTATCCCAGTCTCCCCTCACAAAACTTTAGGTCCGGACACTAGCATGCAATTTTTGGGGATCCAATTAGTCTCTATCCATATGCTTGCCTCCCACAGGATAAGATTGAGCGCACCCTGGCAAGCATTGAACACTATCTACTACGAGGTTATTGCACCTGGAAGGAACTGCAATGCTGCTGGGGTCACTCAATTTTGCTATGAGAATTATTACACAGGGTAGATCCTTTATATCCCACTTACTATCTTTATTTCCACTATTCACCTCAGACAATTCACGTATCACTTTAGATGATCACACAACCTCTGATTTATGTATGTGGGTTTTTTTTTTCTTACCTCTTGGAATGGGCGAGCCATCTTTATACCACCCCCCTCTGACACTTCACCTACACTATGGACAGATGCTGCAGCAAAAAACTGTTTTGCAGCCATCTGGGGAGATCAATGGCTTTGGGAACCTTGGCCGACCCAAGTTAAATCCCTGCCCAGCTTCTCCGATACCTCAGCTTTATTTGGCCATTGCCTGGGGACCAAACTGGTCCGGTCTCCCGGTTAGGTGTTACTCAGATAATTTAGCTATGTGCCATATTGTAAATAAAGCCCGGTCTTCATCTCTGGTAATTGAGACTGTTGAGACGACTCACATGGGTAGCAGCCACTTGTCAATTCTTTATCACCTGTATACACATTCCAGGGTACACAAACACCTCAGCTGACCACTTGTCTCGGTTTCGTTTTCACGCTTTCTTCTTGACACTACCCATCGCTTCCAGTCTGGCTATTCCTGCCCCACCATTTTAAGACATGATAATGGATTGAAGGCTTTGTTAAACTACGCACGTCACATTTCTTATCTTGCACTTTCGGTAAAAGTGCAAGGTGATAGGGCCTTTCACGTATTCACGAAATTTAAAACTACATTTCACATCCACGACATGTTTGCGTTAGAATCAATATTAGGGTTCACTTCTTTTTGCCACATTAACCTGAAATTATCTTTTAAAACCATAAAGCTGTACCTTACAGGCTTCCAGCACCACATACTTTTTTTTTTTTTTATTCTTTTTTTTTTACTCAATAGAGATAGCATGTGCAGATCAACTTTTGGGCTTACGCAGAAGCCACCTTGATAAACATTTCGGAAACATTATACAGTTCGACAAGAAAAAAAACAGTATGAGCCCCATCTTTGGCTTTAACCATTGGCTTCTGGAGTGAGCCATGCTGTCGCTATTGCTCGGCGTGCACACAAAGTGATCTTATGTGCTAATTTCTGTTCCTGTGTGGTCCATCCGTCCACAGATCTGTTCAATAAGTAGATCCATGGGTCCAATCTCAGTGGTCTATCAAATATCTGCTTCAACAGATCTTCCACAGACTTCCAGAATCCGCATATCTTTGAGCACTCGCACCACATGTGTATATACGTCCCTTGGGCTCCGCATCCCCTCCAGCAATCGTCAGTCTCTAGTTTGTTCATCATATGTAATTTAATCGGGGTGGTATACCAGCGGAACATAGTTTTCCAAGCCTGCTCCTATAGGGTGACACACATTGAGATTTTAGAGTTTGCCTCCCATATCTCCCGCCACTCGACTCCCTCTAAAGTCTCCCCGAGATCTTTCTCCCATTGGACAGTGTATGTTAACCTTCCCCATTCTCCATTTTCTTCACTGAGATGAGCGTACAATAGTGTGATCAGCCCCTTGGGTGTCCCCCTGTCTGAGCACATCCTCTCGTAGAAGGTGGGTGTCCCCAAGGCAGCCTTTTTAAGATGTGGTTTCTTGGCGAAATCTCGTATTTGAATGTACCGGAAGAAATCTGCCGGGGTTAAGTGGTTACCCAATTGAATATCTGCAAATTGGATGACCTCTTCATTATGATACAGCTGATGCAACCGTTGCAGTCCAGTACGTTCGATGTTGCGGAAATCTCTGGGGGCCATACCAGGCGGGAATTCTCTGTTCCTTAGAAGTGAGGTCAGAGGGGAAGGGGATGATGCCAGCCTATATTTGGTGTTACACATGCCCCATATTCGAATCGAATTGAGTATCGCTGGGCATGTAATCCGTATCTCCGGTCTGTGTTCCTTGGGGACCCACATCGTAAACTGGGGGACGTCCACCCCCACCATCAAAGATTCTATGTCCACCCACCGCCTCTCTTCCGGTGCAGAGTGCCACATGGCTACCTGCATCAATTGTGCCGCTAGGTAATAGAAGAAGAGGTTCGGAAGGCCCAAGCCCCCTCTATCTTTAAGTCTATACAATATCTGTTTGGAAATTTTCTGTCTCTTGTTCTGCCATATGAAATTACCTATGGACCTTTGCAGTGGGATCAGTTGTGTCTTCGTGACTCGGATGGATAACGCCTGAAAGAGGAACAATAAGCGTGGCAGGATGTTCATTTTTACGGAATTTATCCTACCTTATCTGCCCATTTGTCTAGGTCCCCCATCAGCTCTCCAAGCATAGGGGCGTAGTTAGCTACATATAAGCGTTCTGGATCAGCCGTTATATTGATCCCTAGATACTTCAGGGAGTCAGTTTCCATACGGATTTGGTACACCGCCTGTAACCGAGCCGTGTCAACTTGAGACAGGCATATCGGGAGCGCACTGGACTTTTGGATGTTCGCCTTGTATCCGGATAACACACCGTATTCTAAATTGACTCCCTGAAGTGCTACCATTGATTCTAGCGGAGACGTGACGGTTAAGAAAACGTCGTCCGCATAAGCTGAAACCTTGAAGTCTTTGTCTTTGTCTTTGTCCCCCATTCTGACACCTGTAATGTTTGGATGTTGGTATACATTGCTTTCGTTGTTGCTAAGTATTCCTGCAGGAAGCCCATGCACTTCAGAACTGGAAAAATAAATTGCCACCGAACTCTATCGAACGCCTTTTCAGCGTCTAAGGAAACCACTAACGTGGGGGTCTTTGAAGTCACCTGTTTCCATATAAGATCCACATTCCTCCTAGTATTTTCGAACAATTGTTTACTTGGGATAAACCCAACCTGATCTGCATGGATGAGAGAAACCAACAGTGGGTTCAGCCTGTCCGCCAGTATTTTCGCCAAGATCTTCAGATCGTGGTTGATCAATGAGATGGGCCTGTAGTTTTCCGGGTAATGGGGGTCCTTTCCCGGTTTTGGCAAGAGTACTATAGTCGCCAGTGACATTTCAGATTCCAGTTGTCTGCTGTGCCGTAAGCGATCAAAGAGTCGGACCAGTTGTGGTGTGAGTTCTTCTCTGAATATCTTGTAATATGAGCCATCAAAACCATCTGTCCCCGGCACTTTGTTGCCTTTCAGGTTCGAGATAGCTTTGTCCACGGCTTCGTCCGAAATGGATGCTGCCAGAGTACGCGTTGCCTCAGCACTCAGTTTAGCCATCCCTAGCCTATCTAGGTATCGTACGATATACTCCTCCTCGTGCACCCCATGAGCTTCCATCCGGAGTGTGGTTATATAATCTTTCATAGAAACCTTCAAAACTCTTTGCAATCTCTGCCGGTCTCGTTCTGGTCGTGCCATCGGGATGTTTGATCGCTGTCGTGTGGGTCCTTCCTTGCCTTGGCCTCAATGTTCTAGCTAATAGGGTGTCCATTTTGTTTGCCTTTTCGAAAAAAGTCCTTTTCGACCAGGTCATGGCTTTAGCCGTGTCGTCCAGTAGTAAAGTGCAGATATCCCTTCTTACTGCTTCCAATTGTGCGAAGATGCTCGCCGATGGTGTCGTTTGGTGTTTATGTTCAAGGGTTCTAAGTTGACCCAGTAAAGATTCCAGTTTTTGGTGTTTCATTTTCTTTTTTCTGGTGGCCAGTTTAATTAGGGTCCCCCTAATGACCACTTTATGGGCCGCCCAAACTGTACTCGTGCTCACATCGGGGGTGGTGTTCAACTCGAAGTAATCAATGATTCCTTTCCTGGTCTGTTCCAGTATCTCCGGGTCTCTAAGCAGGGACGTGTTCAACTTCCACGTCCACGGCGAAGCAACACAGAGGTTGCCTAACGTGATTGATATATCTGCGTGGTCCGACCAAGATATGTTGCCCACCTGCGATCCGACCCTTCGGGACATGCCCGCTGCGTTAGTCAGGAAGAGGTCTATCCTGGAGTTCCGTAGGGAGCCAAGTAAAAAGTGTAGTCTTTTACCCCTGGATGTTGAGCTCTCCATATGTCCACTAGTCCCGTTCCAACTATGAAGTCTTTAAGTAGACGATCCTGACTGCCCCTACCCTGCGACCTAGGGGTACCCGTCCGCGAACTTCTATCCACAGCAGGGCACGGGGCTGCGTTGAAATCGCCTCCCAAAAATATCATTTCGTGAGGCAGCCCAGATATTTTCTCCTGAATCCTTCTCCAAAACCCCGGGTCCGGCTGATTCGGTGCGTATATATTAACCAAATGGTTGGCACGCGAATGTAGGACGCCCGAGACAATAACAAAACGTCCCTCCGTGTCCGCTTCATAGTGCGTTTCACGGAAGGGGCATCTACTTATAATAAGGATCGCCACCCCATTGCGCTTGCGATGGGACTTGGCTTCATAGGAGCCGGCAAAAGCGTGGTCTTTCAGCTTGAACTTGGCCTGTTTAGGCAAATGAGTCTCCTGGATAAACGCAATGTCCGATATCATTCTTCTCAGTTCTTTGTACAGGAGTCTGCGCTTCCTTGGGGCGTTCAAGCCCTTGACGTTCAGAGAAACTACCTTAATCTCCATCAGGCTGCTTGGTTAGGGCCCTATAGGAATCACCAACGCCACTCATCTTGGCTCGTCTCCTGTCATGGCTCCGGGATAAACCCATTGATGGACCCCCGCCGTCCCTCCGGAGAAGAGAAAAGAGAAAAAAAGGAAGGGAAAAGAGAAAATAAAGTATAGAAAACGGACTGCATCCGGACACAGTCCAGACAATGCCAGAATAATATGGGGAACGTCATCCCATTTCCCCGCCACGATCAACGTTTGGAGGAACAATGGATTCCTGAGCTCCTCCACCTAGGCGCCACTCATGTGATACTTGGACCTCTATGTTAACCGATAATGCAATTGTATTATTCAGCCTATTAGCGCCCCTCTCTCTCCCTCCAGTGGCTCTAGCTCTGCCTGGGAGTCCCATCGCTAGTCTCCGCCCCCCACGGGCCCAGAAAGGGGCCAAGAAGTGCCCATTCACTATACTCTTTGGTATCACGGTCCCCTCTCTCTAGGTGTGCTCCTCCCCCCTCCGCTACCCCGTATAGCCACTTTGAACATCACACAATGTAACTCAAACATTCAATTACAGTAGCGTTGTGGGACAGTGTTCCCGAAACATTCTGTGTGGAGCACTCACATAGGAAAACAACAGTTTTTCTGGCATGTTTCTTTTATGTAGTTATTGTTTTTAATTGTTATAATTACAAATATAGATATTCTTTATTTATTATTTTATTTTTAAGTGTTAAATTAACTTTCATTATGGTTGGGCTTGGGGTGTGTCCCTCTCTTCTCCTCTTTCTTTCTTACTATCGTTTGTTTTCTTTGTTCTTAATTTTACTGTATTTTTGAAGTTTTAAATTAAATTACTGTTCCGGTTCCGTCCTCCTTCTCCGCGCCCTGTGAAATTTGCAGCTCCACCTTATTCCCTTTTTCTCCCCCAATGCCACTCTTTAGTTATAACACATTCCTATCCCGAATCAACTAGACTCCCCCTTTAAGGACAGTCTATCCACTCTGCATATGTGGCGTACACTGCCCGTTGCCTGCGGTCGTGGGACTTATAAAGGAGGGGCCTGCGAACATATCTGCGGGTAATTGTCCCCTCACCCATCCATATCCACAAAGAAAAATAATGATATAGGAGACCAAACAAACTAAAATAGAAATAAAAAAATAAATAACTGCCCACACAACTCCCTTATAGCTGCCCATTCGAGGCAGATCCAGCCCCTAACCGTCATGAGAATCGCCAACCCGGGCGGATAGTCACCCCCACCGGCCGGCCCCTGTCGGGACTGTCCCCTGACCGGCCAGCGGGGGCAAGCAGCCGCACAGGGAGCAACCCCGCCGACAGTGAGCTACCTATGATAAGTTCCGCCTGCGGCCTCCAAACTGCACTTGTGGGTAACCACACAGGACTAATACCGTCCGGGGTTCACGTTCGTCATGGAATGTAGGGGCCAGGGGTGAGTGTCCAGGAAGCCCAAGCTAGGAGGTTGTTCGCCTGTACCATGACCCCAGCAATGCAAAAATAATTTGTTATTAAGGTCGCACGTTCTGTGCAGGCGACAAACCTAAAATGAATAGTACTCGAGTCTGATTACTGTCTCTTCGCATTGTCTGATGACCTTTTACCGGCCAGTGTCATGCCTCATTTTCAAACTTGTCACGACGGTTTAGTTCACCGTGCAAATCAACCTAGCTGTCACATCCCTATTGGTTATCTCTTTACCTCCCGTCCATTACCCTTATTTCCTCCCTCCCCAACCCATCCCCTGCTTTCCGGTCCCCGCTTTCAGATCAACCAGAAGCCCACCCTCCCCTCGCCCCGCACCCCCCAAACATTATCTCGTCACCCTACACGTCTTTTTTATTTGTTTGTGTGGTTTGCTTTTTTTTTTTCTTTTCTCCTTTTTCTTCTTTTTTTCTTTCTTCCTTTTCCCATCCCTTACAGTCCCTTTTTTTTCTTTTTTTTTTTTTCCTTTTAATAATTAATTAACTTTTGAATAATATTCCTTTTTCTCTTTTAAGGGAACTTCACGCTTAGTGAAAGGATATACGGGTGATATGCCCTGCAACCCCCAGGTAGTAGAAAACATATCGAACAAATACCACAACGGGACAATAGTGTCTATATAAAGCGAAAGATGTGCCGGGTCTTCGGGCACATCCCCAGACCCCGTCCGAAGGGAACATGAGGCATCAGAGGCCTAGCCCCGGGGATAAGTGCATCGGCTCCAAAAGGTACCAGCTACCGTCCTTCGCTGCACCCCGGGTTCCACGTGGAGGAAACGGCTGGGTGAAACAAGGGCCTCCAGGGGACCTAATATGGGGCCGCAACCCCAGAGCGCAAAAAAAAAACCAAAAAACTAAATCGAGGCAAAGGAGAGCGATGGATTACGGGAGCACAGATTACAAAAAAGTATCCCCACGGAGAGAAAACAAAAAGAAAAAACAGGACCAAACCCAGGGGACCCCAAAACCCCCGCCCAAACAGTGCTTCTAATGTCCACAGAACCCCCAATAGAGAGAGTCTCTCACTTTGGCCAACAGAAGGCGGGCGGCCAGCACAGTGAGGAAACGTGCCCTCCAGAAAACCCATGCCCAAGCCCCCCGCCCCACCAACATCGAGATTCACAGCCGCCCAAGGAGAAAAATAGGCATGAAGATAAAAGGTGGTATACGATACCGCTATCAATCAGTGCTGGCTCCTGGGTCCCACTCCGCCTGAAGGTGTGGAAGCACTTCCGGACACATTGCTAAGTTAGGCAGGTCTGGGGGTGGTTGTATTCCCAGGCCCTGGAACAGGCGCTTCGGGTCTCCTCCCGGCGTCAAGATGTGGGCTCTGCCGTCGCGGAACACCAGTAATTTAAAGGGGAAACCCCAAGCATACTTCAGGCCTGCCTCTCGCAAGGCCCCAGTGATGGGCCGCCAGTCCCTCCTCCTCCATAGCATCTAAGGGGCCAAGTCCTGGTAGAGAGAGATTAGGGCTCCGTCGTGCCGGATAGGCCCATCCCTGCCCCTCTTCATCAAAGCTTCTTTTGTCTTGTAATGTAGGAAGTTAACTATAACATCCCTAGGGGTATTGGCATCAGTTCTCTGCGTTTTCATTGCTCTATGTGCCCTCTCAATATGCCACTGTTCCTCCGGGATGGTCGGAAGGAGGGGCTTAAAAATTGATTGCAAGAGCTCGTGCAGGTCTTTATCCGGCCCTTCTGGTAAGCCCCTCAGGCGGAGGTTATTCCTCCTAAAGCGGTTGGCCATGTCTTCCAGGGCTAGGTCCATATCAACCACATGGGTAGTCATGCGATTAACTCTGTCGGCTACCTCATTGTGGGCCTGAGTTGTAGCTTCCATGCGGTCTTCCAACTTAGCCGTGCGCTCTCCCAGGGCACAGATATCAGCCTGCAAAACGGCCGTTGATTTAGCTATTTCACCCGCGAGGAAGGTTTTCACCTCAGCTAGTTTAGCGAGGACAGTGCTCTGGTCTGCGGATAGGGACTCTCTATCTGCGCCAGGTGAGGAGTGCGTGGAACCCCCGTCGCCATCTTGGCTGCCGGCACTGCCGTGCCGGTGCGCTGTAAGGAGGTCGAGAACGGAGCCACCGGACTCCGTGGCCCTCTTGGCCTGCTTCTTGGGGAGTCTCCTTTCCATAGTAGGGTGTTAGGGAAGGGGGAATTGCCCAAATAAAGGTTGCTTCTGTAGTTTATGGTGGAGCGGAGCTCTAGTGAAGCACGACTGGTCTCATCAGCTGTCAGGCCACGCCCCCCCCAGCACCACATACTTATTCGACAACCCAACGCAACAGGTTTCCTGTCATCATATCAAAAAAAAAAAAATTAGACACACACGTCCCCTCTCATAGATTACCCATAGACAACGACATTTTCCACTCGCTATACAACTTATTAGATTCTTCTCCTTTTGAACCCATGACTAATACCGTGATCAAAACAGCCATATAATTTAGCTTTTTATGGGTTCCTCTGTCCCAACGAATTTACAGCTAGGAACATTACTACCCCAGACTACCTGAGAATGATTGACTTACAGAGAAACACCGACCATTACGTTCTATCCTTAAGACAATTCAAAACCAGCACCATACGACATACTATTAAAATTCCCTTGTATCCTACTCAAAACAAGTGGTGCCCGGTACAAGTCTTGGACACTTATTTCCTTTCAGTCCAGATACAACCACATCAACCCCTGCTTGAACTGCATGGATACACACTTACCACAGCAAAATTCATGCTTTACGTTCGGCTGCTGTTGACTCTGCTCGGCCTAAATCCCAATCATTTTTCAGGACATTCTTTTCGTATAGGGGCTGCATCTTCAGCCTCCGCTAATCACATAGCCGCTCATATCATCAAGGCTATGAGACGCTGGAAATCCTCCGCCTACACTCTCTACATACCAAATCCAGTTAAAGAATTAAGACAAGCTTTCTATGACTTATCCAAATAAATGAAGTTGGTTACACATTGTTTTATGGTATTTTATTTTGCCCACTTTTATTACATGCCCACTGCTTTGTCGGTTCCGGCACATCACAACCGACTGGTGTGAACTTATTGTTGTTATGATTATAATATGCTAGATTTCTGTTTTACGGCTATATTGCCCCGACTACAAATGTTAAGGCCTTGGCCTGTAGTTGTGGGAGGGGCTTAGATCCCCTATAAAAAGGCTGCCAATCCTCTCACCTTACCGTTGCTGGTCTGACAAGTCACCCCTCCCACCACTCCCTCTATTCATAGCACCCTCTAAGGTGAGCCCACTTTTATTACAGGCCTACTGCTTTGTCGGTTCCGGCACACCACAACCGACTGGTGTAAACTTGTTGTTGTTATGGTTATAATATGCTAGGTTTCTGTTTTTCAGCTATATTGCCCCGACTACAAATATATTCGTGGTCGGTTAATATCGTTATTGTGAAATACCTTGTGATTGGAATTAAGTTGGGGTGGTGTGCCGGAACCGACATAGGGGGTAGGCCTGTAAAAGAGGGCCCCCCGAATGGATTGTATAAGAGGGTGAGGTGGGTGGGGTGAACAGCGTGCGTACAGCAAGGTAGGAAGTGGGGAGTAGCGTTTATATAGGAACGCTAACTCCTCCCACAAATACAGGCCTTCGGCCTTAAACTTGTGGTCGGTTAATATTGTTATCGTGAAATACCTTGTGATTGGAATTAAGTCGGTGTGGTGTGCTGGAAACGACGTAGCGGGTAGGCCTGTAAAAGAGGGCAAAAGGAAATGCAAGAAAAACACACTTATTGCAATATATTTATCCCATAAGATTTGTTTCCCTTACCTCTTATCCATTGTGGAATGTTCTGTATAACGTAGCTGACTTCTAGTGAACCTAATTTATTATGTGTACCGGCGTACTGCTACTGGATGTGGTACTTATTGAAATGTATGTCCTAAATAGGAGTCAGGGTCCCAACCTAATCTAATGCAAGGAGTATGAATGTAGAACCGCATTAGTAGTTAGGGAATTATTTAGTAGATCGAGTGTCTTGATTGTCTGATTTGAATGTTGGCGTGACATGAGGTAGTGCCTGTCCCTTCTTAAATCTCCCTTGAGGAGACATGACCTGCCAGTCTGATAAGCTGTGATCGTGAAGTTGTAGGGCTCTGGAACCCTTGGAAGGTTAAAGGCACAGGTTTAAGACAGGGTTGTGGTACGGATGCTGTCTAGGGAGTCTGATACTGCCCGTAATTCCCATCTATGGATGTATGTTATTGTGGAGTGATGAACCAGTTATTTATACCTTGATATCTTATGGTAAGCATTTAAGAAGACTGGGTATGGTTTGAAAGGCTTGTCAGAACGTGTTGTTGTATGTCTGATTGGTATAGTGCGATAGTGTTGTATGGAGGTTTGAATGAAAGGTGGCAAAAATGTGGCATAATAGACTACAGTTTGAACGGTATGCTTGTGGATGTTGTGTTCCACTGAGTCTTGGAAGAATGTCACATCTCTGTTGTCTGTATTCTTAGTGAAAGCGAATAACGATATAGGTGATAACTTGTCGAGCCCCAATAGCCGGGCGACCGGATGGGGACGTTGAAATGCGGGTTATGCTTGGGTGTTTGTCAGTTGGGTGCGGTACAAGACCTAGTGTCTCTTGTCAGTAATCCCTAATAGTTATGTAAATGCTTCAACCCAGGATAGTGGTTTCATCTGTACAAAAGATTGGAAGTTGGTCGGGACCAGGCGGGATGAACACAGTAACCCAATTCCGAGCTCTAATGACTCCCCCCACCTGATCAGGTCTGCCTTGCCAGAGGATCTAATAATAGATCTTTCAATTTCAAGTTCCCCGCTGAAGGGACTTGTTCGTCTTCATGACTGCACATGATCTTATCCTCAGGAGACTTGATTGTATGGTACCGTAATTGGTATGAACCTATGACATGAAGCCTGCGAGAGAATTAGGCGAATATCAGGGTGTTAAGGCATAGATTGCGACTGAAGAGGAGCAGGCAGATCAATGTGTTGTTTATTAGAGTATTGCTGGTAGTTTACAGTGTGTGATACGTGTCTAGCCGAGGAGAATGGAACATCTAGGGTACCTACTGGGAGTGACCCTCACCCAATGTGTAACCCATGTCTAATGATTAAATCACCAAGTGCGGGGACGAATGTGACTCATGCATAACATCAAGCTTATTCCCTCTGTACTCATGACCTTTGATATGATATATACGGGCAGATGGTTTTGACCTCAGCCCCAAGGCATATGGCGCATATGTGAAGCAATTCGCAGTTGGTAGAACTACATATGCTTGTGTTGAAATCAACAAAAATTAGCGGGTTACTACTTAGAAAGTGAGGGGGGGGTGAAAGGTGATGCGGGGGGCCAACCCTGCGCGTTGGTGGGAGTAAGTGTTTATGTGGACCCTACGGGAGGAGGGCCTATCTGAGCCGGACTGGTGCTCTCTAAGTTAGACAGTCTATTGTTGAAAGACTGAAGCGTAGCCAGAATGGAGTTTAGATTCCCTATAATGCCTGCGATTTCTCCTTGTGAGCTGGTCCCCAACACAGAATTCTCAGTGTCCGGCTCCGAGGTTGCGCTAACGAGGGATGGTTCTTTCCTTCTTGAGACATACTGGGGGAAAAAATTCCACAACAAGCATGAATTGATTAACAATACAGTTGAGAAATGTAGAACTGGCTTCCTAACTATTGCCGAAGCGAAAATCTCTTTACCCCGTGACAAGTGAGGCCCTGCTAGTTGCCAAGTGGCTGTTGAGAGGCTCTACCTATTATTTGGTCGCGGGGCTCGAGCCACTAGCGTGGTGGCGGCCTCTCGGTGACATAAAAAAAGATCCAAAAACGTGTGGCCGTGACACCCGATAGGTGGGTGAATGTGAGGCTCTAACTATGATTTTGGCTGAGGGGCGAAAATCTCCGTGTTGAGATTGGGGAGTTGGCCTCGCGGGACCAGCTACGTTGTACAACTAAGGCCAGCTCTTAACCCTAGACAGCCAATTCTCTGACCCTAGACGGGGGCTTGATGAGGGGGTAGTGCAACGTATTTGGAGTAACGAGTCGTGATTGTGAAAGGAACCTTGAGACTCCTATGTCAGAGAAAGAGAACAAGGAAGGGGGAGAAAGGAGGAAGACAGAAGAGAAAATCAGCTGTGGTGGAGGGAGAGGAGAGAGAGAAAATTACGTTTAGCATCGTGTAGTTCTTAGAGACATAGCTGATAGTATTGTGTACTTAGGTCCTGAAGGTGCTGAAGATTCCCCTGGTGGCTACTATATAACCCTGCAAGGAGATTTAGGAAGGCGTCGTGCCATGAAAGCATGATAGTACGTGACGGAAAGTGGAAGAGAAATGAGCAAGGTTGTTAGAAACAGGATCATTGTTTACGGATAGTGAGTTTGATTGGACGTATGACGTGTTATCGAGTGGAGCCGTGGCCTGTTGAGGCAAGACGGGAATCAAGCCCCCGTACCCTAATACCCCTATGTGTAAATGCGTGGCCTTGTTAAGGCAGTTTATTGAAATGTGAACGAAATGTGTTTGTACCTGAAAGAGACAGGAGCAGGGCCGGACTGGCCCACCGGGATACCAGGAAATTTCCCGGTGGGCCGTGGCACCTGAGGCCGGTCTGACAGCTCCTGTGATCCCGGCGGCCATGTGTGAGCTGTGTGGCCGCACAGAGCCCCATGGGAGCAGGGGGAGCCAGGCGGCTGGCACAGCTCACACATGGCCGGCCGGGATTTAAAAAAAATAAAAATAAAAATTGCGGCGGGGCTTAGCGTGCGGCGGGGGCGGGGCTTACTGTGTGGCGGGGGCCTGGCTGACTGCAGCATGGGAAGCAGGGAGTCCCTGCTTCCCCAACAACCAGCCTCCAGGAGCTCCACGCAGGAGGGAAGAAGCAGTGTGTCTGTGTGTGTGTGTGACTGTCTGTGTGTGACTGCCTGTGAGTGTGTGACTGACTGTGAGTGTGTGACTATGTCTGTCTGTGAGTATGTGACTGTGTGTGTGTGTGTGTGTGTGTGACTGTCTGCCTGTGTGTGTGTGTGTGTGTGTGACTGTGTGCCTGTGTGTGTGTGTGTGTGTGTGTGTGTGTGTGTGTGTGTGTGTGCGTGACTGTCTGCCTGTGTGTGTGTGACTGTCTGCCTGTCTTTGTATGTGTGGGTGTTTGCCTCGGTGTCAGTGACTGTCTGCCTGTGTGTGACTGTCTGCCTGTGTGTGACTGTCTGCCTGTGTGTGTGTGGCTGTCTGCCTGTGTATGTGTGTGGCTGTCTGCCTGACTTTGTATGTGTGGGTCTTTGCCTCGGTGTCAGTGACTTTCTGCCTGTGTGTGTGTGTGTGTGTGGCTGTCTGCCTGAGTGTCAGTGACTGTCTGCCTCTGTGTGTGTGCGCGCATCTGCTAGTGAGGGAGCCTCTGTGTGTGTGTGTGTGTGTGTGTGTGTGTGCCTGCTAGTGAGTTTGTGTGTGTGCCTGCTAGTGAGTGAGCTTGTATGTGTGTCAGTGAGGTTGTCTGTAGGGATCATATGTGTGTGTTAGTGAGCTTGTCTGTAAGGAGCATGGGTGTGTCGGAGCCTGTCTGTGGTGAGCATGTGTGTACAGTGAACTTGTCTGTAGTAAGCATGAGTGTGATCGTGAGCTTGTCTGTAGTGACCATATGTGTTTCAGTGAGCTTGTCTGTAGTGAGCATGTGTGTGTCAGTGAGCTTGTCTGTAGTGAATCTGTGTGTTAGTGAGCTCTTCTGTAGGGAGCGTGTGTGTCAATGGGCTTGTCTGTAGGAGAGTGTGTGCGCATCAGTGAGCTTATCTGTAGTGAGCGTGTGTGACAGTGAGCTTGTCTATAGTAAGCTTGTGTGTGTGTATCAGTTTGTCTGTACTAAATTTGTGTGTGTGCCAGTAACCTTGTCTGTGTGTGTCATTGTCTGTCAATGAGCCTATTTGTGTGCATCAGTAAGATTGTCTGTCTGTGTGTGAGTATGCTTTACTGTATAATTTAATTACCCTAAAAGAACTAATATTTTGAATTAGAAGAAGAAATGTATATAAAAAAAAAATAAATATATATATATATATATATATATATATATATATATATACTGTTGCATCACCAGGGATCCAGTATATATATAGGCAATTGAAATAGTTGGCTGCACTCTCAGATTTCCTGAAAATTTTACTTTTATTGAAATATTTAAGATCAATGTTTCAGTCCCTCTTGTGGACTTGCATCAGGATCATGACGAAAGTCCACAAGAGGGACTGAAACATTGATCTTCTCTTAAATATTTCAATAAAAGTTACATTTTCAGGAGATCCGAGAGTGCAGCCAACTATTTCAATTGCCTATATTCTCCTGGTAGAATGCCGTCCGAAACCTGAAATTAAGGTGCTGTTTTGGAAGGGAATGATATCCATTAGGTGACCTCTAAATATATAACAGCCTTCTCTTAATTAGTGGTATGAAATTACGCCAATCGTGTAATTAACTAACTTAATCAGATGTTGTTTAGCAGGCGATAATAGGCAACCTCCGTATAAATTAGTGAAACATATATAAATGTAATGGAGATTGTGACAAACTTATCTGACTTAATCATCTGACAACAATGTTTTAATGTATTGACGTGATAATGTTGGACTTAAAGTAGGGGCATTCTTACCCAGAGGGAGGGATTTAAACGAACAGATTCATAACAGTTTAGGCTCAAAATGAAAAGACAATAGACATTCCCCCTTCTTAGCAGGTAAGTTATATATAGCTATCAGTTCCTTTGTGTACTTACATACCCATAATCAATTACCAGAATAGTACATGAATGGACAATGTTGTTAAAGATTCACTCAACCTAGCCGGATTGAACAGTAAATGCATGATACAACATATTGGATGGAATAATGGAAAGGAGGTGTAACGAGTGTACATTTGTTTAACGTTAGTAATACCCCTATATTGCGATCCTTGAAAATATTGTGCTTAAAGCGTGGTATTATTGATGGAGGTAAAAATGGTGAAGGAATGAAAGGTGTTAAAGGAGTTCAGGATGTTTATTGCGAGATAGAGAGTTGATGATCACGTATGACGAGTAGTAGAGTGAAGCTGTGGCCTGACGAGGCAAGGCGAGAAATCAAGCCCCCGTATGTTAATAACCCCTCTTTGGTGTTGCGTGGCCTTGTAGAGGCAGTAAATAGCGACGTGAATTAAGATTAATTAGTACCTGATAAACACGGAAATTAGCGGAGTAATAACCAGGTTGTAGTAAATGCTTTTGCGAAACCTGAAATTGAGGTAGCATATAACAAGGAGAAAAGGGATTTTTGTTTTGTTAATGACATGCTGTGCAAAAATGTAAAGGCCAATTTGGCAAAGTTGTGGGTTTTGCTATGTTTACATTAACATAGGATGTAAGTTGGCAAAACGCTGCTTAGTAAATAAAACCGAAATCTATTGTTCCTGGTGGACAAAGTGCATATTTAACCCATTTAAGGCATATAACATAAAGAAATGATGATATATGAAGTGATTTACATGATGTGTGGTGACTAACAGGTTAATGTCAATCGTTATATATTCATTAAATCTCTTGATTGGATTTAATAGTGTGAAATTAAGCAATGTGGAATTTTGGGAGAATACAGCGTAGGATATATAGAATCCTAGAATGTTGTACATTAAGTTGGTTTCCATGGTAATTGAAACGCTTTTAGAACGTTGCCCCAGATTTACTATTATTATTATTATTATATTATTTATATAGCGCCAACAAATTCCGTAGCGCTGTACAATGGGTGGACTAACAGACACATAATTGAGGTAAGACCACTGACGTACAGGAACAGAGGGGGTTGAGGGCCCTGCTCGATGAGCTTACATGCTAGAGGGAGTGAGGTATAGTGACACAAATGGTTAAAGTAGGGGAATTAAATAGTTTGTTACAGAAGGGTTTATTGAGTGCTTGGTAGGTCATTTTTGACAGGTGCAGGAACGGAGTCATGGGGTGGGGGATGAGAAACCTGCTGACAGTTTAATTGATACGCTTTAATGAAGAAGTGAGTTTTCAAAGATTTTTTGAAGGAGTGGAGGCTGGGTGAAAGTCTGATTGAGGAGGGAAGGGAGTTCCACAGAATAGGTGCAGCCCTGGAGAAGTCTTGAAGGCGAGCATCAGAGGTGGAGATCCGGGCAGAGGATAGGAGTAGGTCTTGGGCTGAGCGCAGGGGTCTCGACGGGACATACTTGTGTATGAGGGAGGATAGGTATGTTTGAGCAGCATTATGTAGGGATTTGTAAGCAAGCGCCAGAATTTTGAATTGGGCCCTATATCTAACTGGAAGCCAATGCAGGGACTGACAGAGCGTGGAGGCGTGGGAGGTGCGACCGGACAGGAAAATAAGCCTCGCAGCCGCATTCATTATAGATTGCAGCAGTGCAAGCTGGGAACATGTAAGACCGGTGAGAAGGGGATTGCAATAGTCAAGGCGAGAGAGAACAACAGCATGAACCAGTACCTTAGCCGCGTCCGGCGTTAGATATGGGCGGATGCGCGCTATGTTCTTGAGTTGGAAACGACAGGATTTGGCTATCGATTGAACATGGGGAGTAAGGGAGAGATCAGAATCAAAAAGAACTCCCAAGCAGCGAGCCTGGGAGGTAGAGGTGATTGTAGCGCCGTTGACTTGGATGGCGACAGACACAGGAGTAGCAGCACTTGAGGGAGGAAAAACTAGAAGTTCTGTTTTGGACAGGTTGAGTTTAAGGAAGTGAGCAGCCATCCAGTTGGTAGTAGCAGAGAGGCAGTCAGAAACACGAGTCAAGGTGGGCAGAGAGAGATCAGGGGAGGACAGGTAGCTTTGCGTGTCATCTGCATATAAATGGTATTGGACGCCAAAAGAGCTGATGAGTTTACCAAGGGAGGCAGTATAGATAGAGAACAGTAGGGGGCCGAGGACAGAACCTTGGGGGACACCGACAGGGAGGGGTTGGGGAGAAGAGGCAGAGCCAGAGAAAGAAACACTGAAGGAGCGCTGGGAGAGGTAGGAGGAGCACCAGTAAAGAGCAGAATCCCGTAGACCAAAGTTACGGAGAATGTGAAGAAGCTGTTGATGATCAACAGTGTCAAAGGCGGCAGAAAGATCAAGGAGGATTAGGATAGAGTATTGGCCGCGAGATTTAGCAGCAATTAAATCGTTGGATACTTTGGTCACAGCAGTTTCGACAGAGTGACCAGCACGGAATCCAGACTGAAGGGGTCAAGCAGAGAGTTGGATTCAAGAAAGTCTGTCAATCTGGCGTAGACAACTCTCTCGAGGATCTTGGAGGCAAATGGCAGTAGTGAGATAGGGCGGTAGTTGGATGGGGAGTTGGGATCAAGGTTGGGCTTTTTCAGAATTGGGGTTACGGTTGCATGTTTGAAGGCAGAGGGAAATGTGCCAGAGGAAAGGGAGAGATTGAAAATGTTAGCGAGAGGAAGAGCAAGAGAGGGAGACAAAGTGCGGATGAGATGCAAGGGAATAGGATCGAGGGAGCAGGTGGTGGGGCGGGAGGACAGGAGCAGAGCAGAAACCTCTTGTGCTGTAGCAGGTGCAAATGAGCTTAGGATGGCAGGGGGAGTGGGGTTGGGTAATGTATTGATACTGGTTGGAGAAAGATTAGAGATCTCTTTCCTGATTGTAGAGATCTTCTCAGTGAAATGAGATGCAAAGTTTGTGGCGGACAAGGTGGTGGAAGGAGGGGGAGTCACAGGGCGAAGAAGTGCATCAAAAGTGTGAAACAGGTGTTTGGGTTGGTGGGACAATGTGCTTATGAGGGTGTTGAAGTAACTTACTTTTGCAGAGGAAAGAGCCATGCTGTAGGAGCGCAGCATAAATTTATAGTGGACAAAGTCAGATGCAAAGTGAGACTTTCTCCAGCAGCGTTCATGCAGTTCTGGAACATGTTTGGAGGTAACGGGTCAGCTTGGTGTGCCAGGGTTGTAGTTGGGGGCGCTTGCTGCGTTTAACTGTAGGAGGTGCCATGATGTCAAGTTGAGAGGAGAGAGTGGAGTTGTAGAGTGAGGTTGCAGAGTTAGGGCAGTTGTGATTTGAGATGGGTAAAAGGAGTGTTTGGAGTTTAGTCTAGAAGTGCTGGAGATCGAGAGAGTTGAGGTTTCTGCGAGGTTGGAGAGTGGACGGTGGTGAGATTTTGGTATGGGGTATGCAGATGTTAAATGTTAGCAGATGGTGGTCAGACAAAGGAAATGGAGCAGTAGCGAGATCAGAGGTGGTACAGAGATTGGTGAAGATGAGGTCAAGAGTGTTTCCTGCAGTGTGAGTTGCTGAGGAAGAAATCTGTGTGAGTCCAAAGGAGGAGGTTACAGAGAGCAGACGAGAGGCATCAGGGCAATTGAGCTTGTTGATAGGGATATTGAAGTCCCCAAGTATGAGAGAGGGAGTGCAAGAGGAAAGAAAGTGGGGTAACCAGGAGGAAAAGTGTTCAATGAATAGTTTAGGGTGACCGGGGGGGCGATAGATGATGGAAATTCTTAAAGGAGTGGGCTTAAAAAGGCGTACAGTGTGAACTTCAAAGGAAGTAAAGGATAGGGCAGGGGCAGGGAGGATAGGTTGAAAGGTACATTGAGGGGAGAGAAGGATGCCTACACCACCTCCTTTACAGTCAAGTCTAGGAGTATGGGAGAACTGTAGACCACCGAAAAATAAAGAAGCGGGAGTAGCGGTATCGGATGGAGATAGCCAGGTCTCAGTGAGTGCCAGTATTGAGAGAGTTAGAGATGAGGAGGAGTATTGATACATAAGCCAAGTGTACCACTCTTCTACTCTTCTAACCCTAATACAACGAATTATGAAATGATATATTTATTAAATAACGCATTAATACAGGGAATTCACAGTGATTCGAAGTCTGGCTGCTTTGAATAAATTCTAAATTGGGGTATAATAAGACTGATCTCACTGCTTGGCAGCTTTAAAAGTATAACATGTCTGAGATAATATAGCTGTTACATGGATACCCTAAACATCAATATATGTGTCTGTTACATGGATACCCTAAACGTCGTATTGCAATGAATTGAAAACTCAATTGTCAGATTGAAGCCAAAATAGTCATATTAGGAGAATATTGGAAAATATTTCTAGAGCAGTGCTTTACCTTATTTCTCCTATACTTCTCTGTGTAAAGAATAAACAATCGATATATATTATAATATGGTATTATTTATCGTGCGATACACGCTGTAGGCTGTGAGAGTTGCACAAATAATATGGGAAAACAATAAATAAACACTGGGTATAATTATAGTGAAATCTAAATAAGGCAGGATGGGGTAAAGCGATTAGCTGATAATCCAGATCAACAGGAAAACATATGGCAAATTAATCCAGGTAAGAGATCAATAGAGCTCCACGTGGGAGATACTTGTTTATTTAGCATTGTTACAGAGCTGAGTGTGAGTGACAGGTATGTGTTCAATGTTTAGTAGAGCACATTACCAGGGTGCTTAAAACTACTTCATGGTTGGAACCTGTATATAGTAAGGTGATACCTTCTCAAGAACAAGTTCTCCAACAATGTATAAAGGTGTACAGTAATTAATATGAATAAGTAAATGTAACGAATGGTTCTGCCGAAAGGAAACCTGTATTTGCAGGTTTCATGCGTTTGTATGTTGTTCGTATGAAAGTGTGACTGGTGAATTGCAAATGTCGAACGGGGAGAATAGCCCGAACACGGCAATTCACGCCGACTACCTGGCGTTCGATAGTTTGTAGTTTTGTGCGTCTGCTTGGCGGGAAGGCCGCGAGGAGTGACTTGACCGGAAGCGCGTTTTCGTGAACTGGAAGTCCGGCTTGACAAGAGGAGGTGAACAGCGTGCGTTCAGCAAGGTAGGAAGGGGGAAGTAGCGTTTATATAGGAACGCTAACTCCTCCCACAAAATACAGGCCTTCGGCCTTAAACATATCTAGTAGAGAGCACTCTGAAGTCTTGGTACAGTAAATTCAAACTGCTGCCTTATTAAGCAAACACAGTGATTAACACAATAGTCGACATTTGTCTATGCAGACTTTTTTCAAGACAATTTACAATGTGAGCTTGTGGCTCACAGAGTGTAGTTTAAGTTTAGTTTAGTTGTGACTAATATGTATCAGAGTGTAGAGCTGGTACAGAGAAGTAGAAAGGAGGATACTAAAGTTACTATGAAAGCTCAGATGGTAGACACATACATTAAGGTACTACTCCAATAGATTTGCACATGTCCAGACAGATAACATACATGTTTGATATACCAGTGATAAAGAAAATATATTTACTAGCATAACAAAGATAAATAACGTTAATTAAAGGACCACTCTAGGCACCCAGACCACTTCAGCTTAATGAAGTGGTCTGGGTGCCAGGTCCTTCTAGGTTAAACCCATTTTTTAATAAACATAGCAGTTTCAGAGAAACTACTATGTTTATGAATGGGTTAAGCATTCCCCTATTTCCTCTAGTGGCTGTCTCATTGACAGCCACTAGAGGCGCTTGCGTGCTTCTCACTGTGATTTTCACAGTGAGAGCACGCAAGCGTCCATAGGAAAGCATTATAAATGCTTTCCTATGCGACCGGCTGAATGCGCGTGCAGCTCTTGCTGCGCGTGCGCATTCAGCCGACGGGGCGGAACGGAGGAGGAGAGAGGGAGGAGAGCTCTCCGCCCAGCGCTGGAAAAAGGTAAGTTTAAACCCCTTTCCCCCTTCCAGGTGGGAGGGGGACCCTGAGGGTGGGGGCACCCTCAGGGCACTATAGTGCCAGGAAAACGAGTATGTTTTCCTGGCACTATAGTGGTCCTTTAATAACGTAACCTGATAACGTCTGTTATCATCCACCCCTTATAAACATCCCAATATATACAGCTTCATCTTCATTATTAAAGTGCATCATCTTCTCTGTAGAAAGCAATACAACGAGTACGTCTCATTTAGTTCATATGGGAATATCGTTCCCATGGTGTGTATCCAGAAGGAAACGTCGACTATTGTGTTAATGGAGATTGCACCGGAGCACAAAAAGACCGGGAAGAGTGTTGTGACCTGGTAGATAGATATATATATAGATATATATCTATATATGTCAAGGCTTGCCTGGAGTTGTGGGAGGGGCTTGTTGGTCATATTTAAGCACTCCCCACTTTACCTGCATCACCGTGGATTCAGACGTTTGGCAGGCGATCACTTCCAGTACACTACTTCCGGGTCACAATCCTGTTACTCGGTCTGTGTGTTCCACGGTCGGCAACCAGCTGCTTGCTAAATCACTTGGGTGCTTGGTAAACTGTAAGTTTAAACTAATTCCCATGTGGCAAAGCTATTTAAATTACCTACTCAGACATTACTGGGTATTCTGCCCTATTGCATATACTTTAACACAGGGGAAGCTCAGCTTTAAAGTTACATCACAGATGGAGGGGTTTTTACACTGTGAGGTAGAATATGACAATACAGGTTTTCAACACTATACTACAAGACCGGTTGTCCTCTTTCCCTTATTTTATATTTATATATATATATATATATTTTTTTTTTTTATTATTTTTTTTTTTTTATGTTGTTGTTGGTAATATATGTTATTTGTGTTCGGGGCAAATAGCCGTATATGGAGTAAGGTTCCAGCATAAGCGTAGGATAGTATAAAGGGAGCAAGTCGGTTGTGGTGTGCCAAGACCGACGATACGGTAGGCCTGTAAATAAAGAGGGCAAAAAGAATAATCAAAGATTTAATACAGTCAACAATATATACAAATTAACCAGACATTTCCTTAAATGCATTACGGTATTTAATTCCTTGAAGGATTTTTGAAGGTAGGAATCTAGGACCGCAACTGGACACCATTTGTTGTGGGTAGGATAGTATGTTATCTCTACTGTTGGTGCGTGTTGACTCGTTTCGGAATGTGGTAGAGCCAATAGGTAATGATATATGTGTTTACATACGTGGGATCGTTGAAGACAATGATCTGTCTGAGTGGTGGTTATGGTAGTGGATTCTCTGGCCTGAGAAAGGCATAAAAGGCAGTGTGCATGGCTGGTAATGGCCAACTTGGTAGTATAATTGAAAGGTTGTAGCTCTAATAGGTCCAATAAGGATGGAAAAGTTGGATGGCTATTGGTAATATCTGTGAGGAACGTGGGGGGATGGATTCCTGAAAACCTCTGAGTATATTCTTGTCTGGTATGATAGCATGAAGTTATGGTAGTTTTGGCCATAGGTTATCCTGTGTTGTTGAATGCCTGTAAAATATATAATTAATGGTGTGAGATGTTTTTAGTTTAAGGTGGCAAAAAATGAAGCAAAACCTAGGAGAAATGTTATGACACAGGTTGAGCTATGTCGTGTTCCAATGAGATTCTTTAAAGCCAGGTGAATAGGTGTTATGCGTTCTACAAGTATGGGATGAAAGTGCTAGGTGGGATAGTGCATGCTATGCTGCATGAGTATGTCTAATCCATGATTTTGTCTCTGGAACGAAAGAGTGGCCGTGACTGTATATAAGGCTGTAGGAAGCGTATGATGAACGTGCCTGGAATATAAATGAGACAATTGTCGGCAAGGATGTATACCCCCACCTGGTACATGAAAGTAAAAGAAATGTGGTAAGTGGCCAACCAAGTGAGTTCCCCAGCAATACCATGATCGTATGGATGATGAGTGGCATTTGTTGATGATATGACATGTGCTCAGTTGTTACTGAGTAACAACGGATTGATGACCCTGACCATGATTTACCCCATGCCACAGCAGCTGCTTTTAGCGGGAAAATGATTGCCCATTTTATGCCATGTAAGTGCCAGTTTGTAGGGTAGATGGTAGCCGTTTACTGTGTTGATGATATTGGTCTTACTTAACGAAGCTTCAACCCCTGCTTGAGTGATAGCTGTAAAGGTAGATCAATGGTGTGTATAGTAAGGAAACTCCTCGGAGGGTATGAGGGAGTTGAGACTTGGGGTAGCGAAGGTGTGTGGTGCCAATAAGTCTATGGTTAGTCTTTAAGGGAAGATTCCCTTGTGACAATACCAATGCATTTGTGTTTGGTGCCATGCTGTAAATGGTGGAGATTGGAAAACCCAAGTAAAAACCCCTCTGCAAATCTTGGCTATGAGTGTGTTTACAGCCGACAGTTCTGTTGTGCTGACTGTAAGTGAGGGCATGCTATATTCCTTGAGAGTTTATTTATGATACCTGTATGGGAGCCCTTTGAAGCTCCAGAGCCTTAGTAACTCTACTACAAGTCTGGAAGGGGTGATAAGTCAGTAGTATTGAAAATGCATTGGTGTGTACAGATGGAGAGTACGTTATTTGTAAGTTGTATTGGGACACATGGTTTGTCATGTGCCCTGAATGATTTGAACATATATGCAACAGTCTATATGCAATGTAACTACTAATACCAATTGTCTATGGTAGTTCAGAGGTGCTGGTACCTGGAGCCTGAGAGTGCTCACCCGTTTGTTTGGGAGAAAATCCCTTCTGTATGGGTACCTGCACAAATAAGCATCTCTACATATTCCAAATACCAACACAACCAAGGGATGGTCAGTTCCCGATTTACCTAGAATCCCTGGGTCTGACCATCATAGATACATCATCATACATATATATGCCTTGTTTCCCCAATGTGCCGGGATCATATGTGCAGGGTTAACGTCTTGTACCAAGTAACCGAGTTTCGGTTGGTGCTGGTTGTACAGTAGCGTGAGGCCCAGCCTTGTGAGGGCTGTGACTGACTCGAAATTGCCAGTCTGTCGTAAATTTTTTGGCTCATGAGTTTATGAGTGAGGCTAGCATGGCCTGGGTGTCACCTGAGTTGGTGTTGCTGGGCCTTCCCCTGCCTCCGTGTTGTCCATTGATGTATGGAGGAGTTTGAATAACTCTGCTTTCCTTGCTGTGGCAGGGTAGGGTATTTGTCGCCTCCTTAGGTCGGAGCCACATCTCCTCTGCTTGAAGGTGTATCACTTCTAGCCGGGGTGCCAGGAAGAGGTGATTCTTCACCATCTTTTTGAGAAATACTTAAATAACAATAAAGATTGCAATTATTATTTGTACCCAGGGGTCTTGTACTGGCTTGCTAGCTAAGCCGTAAGGCGAAACGATTAGGCTTGGTGTTTTTTGGTGACTGGTGAGGGAAATTTTTTTTTTTTTTTGTGGCCACCGAACGTTGTGGCAGGATGTTGGCCTCTCGGTGACAGTAACCAGAAAATAGGAGGGGGAGTGACAGGTGAGGCCCTCTCTATGATACAATGCGAGGCGGCTAGCTCACGAGTGGCCCGAGGGGTGTATGCCTCCGAGTGTGAGGAAGGGTGTTGGCCTCGCGGGACCACTAACCGAAGCGTAAAGCAGAGAAACAGGGGGTAATACCTATTGGGCCATAGAACCCTAATTGCCAGTACATTACTACTATTCCAGGGAAGGTAAGAGATGAAGGTGTATCACTTCTAGCCGTGGTGCTAGGAAGAGGTGATTCTTTACCATCTTTTTGAGAAATACTTAAATAACAATAAAGATTGCAATTATATATTTGTACCCAGGGGTCTTGTACCGGCTTGCTAGCTAAGCCGCAAGGCGAAACGATTAGGCTTGGTGTTTTTTTTTTTTGGTGTCTGGTGAGGCCCTGCTAGTTGCCAAGTGGCTCGAGAGGCTCTATCTGCTTGGCGCGAGGGGATTTTGTGTGGCCACCGAACGTTGTGGCAGGATGTTGGCCTCTCGGTGACAGTAACCAGAAAAATAGGAAGGGGAGTGACAGGTGAGGCCCTCTCTATGATACAATGCGAGGCGGCTAGCTCACGAGTGGCCCGAGGGGTGTATGCCTCCGAGTGTGAGGCGGGGTGTTGGCCTCGCGGGACCACTAACTGAAGCATAATGCAGAGAAAAAAGGGGGTAATACCTATTGGGCCCTAGAACCCTAATTGCCGGTACACTATTACTATTCCAGGGAAGGTAAGAGATGGATAACTACGTGAGCAGGTGTACGTACCTGGTAGTATGGTATTGAACCTGACAATCCTTATAGGTTTTTTAGTAGTAACTGTAACCTGAATGGATAAAATCGTATGGCATAAGGAAATATGGCATAGACCAAGCTTATCTTAAAACATACAGTATATGTGAAAGTAAAGTGCCGTGATATGTAAATATTAAACATCATATCCATACTGGTTAAATATGTATCAATCTTAACCCATTAAGTGCCGTATGTATGTGAACCATATTACCAGTTACGTATATACAGATGCGTGTGCTACTGTGTAATAATATGTGTATTTATAACAGATATTGATATACTGCTTGCTATGTGAATTGTTGTATGCCTTATTGAATGGCAAGTGAACATGGAGTTGCAAAATGCAAGTGCACTGGAGATCTGCCGAGTGCCCTATAGGTGGCAGTGTAGTTGATACTGATTGGTATGTGAAATGTTGTTTGTCTGTTGACCTATAGGGGTCAGTGTTTTGGTGTTTGTAAAACCCCATGAAAATTGTCAATGTACTTGACAGACCTGTAGGTGGCAGTGTTGATAGAACCACTGTTAGTCTTAATGTGAAATGTAAATTATTGTGAATTAAACCTGAAGTTGAGCCCGTGTTGGAGTTTAATTCATGGTTTATGGTTATGTTTAAAACAATCTTATGTGTAATTTATATTGGCTGGTAATTGTATATGACATGTGAAGACAGTTTTGCTGTTGACCAGTAGGGGTCAGAAATGCTGATTGTATGGTAAAATACCCTTTAACCCCTGAAGGATACATGACATGTGTGACACATCATTTATTCCAGAGTTTGGTCCTTAAGGGGTTAATCCAAATGCAAGGTTAACGTGAGATTTTGAGAGTGACCTGTAGGGGTCAGTGTGGTTTATGTGAAACATTGTTTGTGAGCTATGCCCCAGCATTATAGTTTTGAAACAAACAGTGCCCGTTTGACAATATACAATAAGTGAACATAATAGCTTAATAACAATCATTGTAACAAACCAAAGTTCTGTTCACGGGTTGTAAACACACGAAACGTGTGTGTAGTACAATAGTAAGTGCATGAACTAGTACCCGTTTGGTAGAAAATTGCACGAATCGTGAGCCTGGTATGCCAGGGAAACAAAACGAAACGAGCAGTGAGATTCGAAATGCACGCACAGAATTGCCTAGTATGTTTAGGCAATTGAAACAGAATGTGTTCCCTTTTGGGAGTATGCTAATGCTCGAAATGAGCCAGTGACAGATATAAACAAGTGAATTTAAACGAATGATATGCATGAACATGCAATGGTTTTAGGACAGATTTAGACCAAATGCAGCCGTAAAGTGAGGACCTGACCCGTGCATGGTGCCGTGGGACTGATGCCTGGCGTAACGGGTAGGTCGACTTACGGTTTGTGAGTCACTTGGACACCATCCACAGCAATAGATTGAAGAAAGAAGGTGGTAGGCCGGAAAAGCCTGTGGCTGAATTCCTGACACAGCTCAGCTTAGAAAACCTCATGGAGTAATCAGGTAAAATGGCGTCTGGATGACCCGGAAGTGGAAATCATTCTGATGCTGACCTCAAGCGATATGAGTCAGGTAAGGGGTGTCCCTTATATAGGGGAGTGAATTAATTTAAGCCCCTCCCACAAATACAGGCCAAATGGCCTTAAAACATATATATATATATATATGAAATTCATGTTGACAGTTAAGGGGAATCTTTTACAAAAATTAAGTGTACACTTGGTTTGTCTATATAGATATATGGATCAGCTTCCATATTTAAAGAGTGGGTATTTAATTGAAGCTCTTATCTTCTACAACACATGGCCTCTTATTCCCCTTATGGTTAATTGCCCGGGTACTGGCAAGAAACCATGTGAGCAGGTTATGAACTGTGGTCATACTCAAGTATATTATCATTAATAATAAAGTTTGATTAAGTTTGTTACTCTGGTCAGTTTTCATATTACACTACTCACTTCAGTACTGTATTAAGGCTAGTATTTTCAGAGATTCCTCTACTTATTTACTCTCTGCTTACTTTTCAGGTTCAGGTTGGCTTATATCACCTAAGTTTGTTTAATCAAATCTCTAAATATTACTTTCCAGTGAGTAAGGTGTAGGGTAGGGGGTTTACTCTCAGCAATTAAGGGGGAGTCCTTTGTTACTCTTTTTGCTATCATTATGTTAAGCCTCTCTTCCACTATAGTAGTGGGGGGAAGTCTCTGATTCTGTGTTGGGTTGTGACCAATTTCTGACCTAACCAACACACAAGTGGGTGTCAGGTATGTTTTGCCTAGCCCCCCTCCCCCCATCACCAAACCCCCTCCTCCCCCTCATTGTTATGAGTTGAGTGTTACTGGCTCTTCAAATCTAGGTGGCCAATAGTTTTCTGGCCTCTTCGCCTCAGTCATAGTGGTCCTGTGAGGCCAACCCCTTTCCTCCACGCTTGAGGATATTCGCCCCTCGGGCCAAATCATAGTTAGCTGCCTCGCACGGTTGCATAGAGAAGGGCCTCCCTTGTCACTCCCTTCCCATCTTATGCTTTTAGTTGTCATTGAGAGGCCAACACGTTTCAGTGGCAGGATCTTCCCTCGTGCCAATCGATAGGTAGAGCCTCTCAAGCCACTTGGCATCTAGTAGGGCCTCACCTGTCACCACACTTAGGAAATTGTGGCCACAGTTAGCCAGCCAGTAACCAATATGGTACAGTTGCTGATTATGTCTTGAATATTTTTCTTTTAGTATGTCTCAGCTACCTGAAAATACAGACAATTTGTCTCTCCCCAGTACTCTGGTCAGGTCCTTGTCACCTTCACAAAAAGGCGACATTGGTAGCCCAACTTCTATAAGATCATGGACAATCCCTCGTATTACTGCAGAGCTTCGTAGATGTATTAGCAGTAGAAAGAGGGAAGTACTCATGCCATTGTACAGAACACTGGTGAGACCTCACTTGGAGTATTGTACACAGTACTGGAGACCGTATCTTCAGAAGGATATTGATACCTTAGAGAGGGTTCAGAGAAGGGCTACTAAACTGGTTCATGGATTGCAGGATAAAACTTACCAGGAAAGGTTAAAGGATCTTAACATGTATAGCTTGAAGGAAAGACGAGACAGGGGGGATATGATAGAAACATTTAAATACATTAAGGCAATCAACACAGTAAAGGAGGAGACCATATTTAAAATAAGAAAAACTACCACAACAAGAGGACATAGTCCTAAACTAGAGGGGCAAAGGTTTAAAAATATCAGGAAGTATTACTTTACTGAGAGGGTAGTGGATGCATGGAATAGCCTTCCAGCTGAAGTGGTAGAGGTTAACACAGTAAAGGAGTTTAAGCATGCGTGGGAAAGGCATAAGGCCATCCTAACTATAAGATAAGGATAATTTAAAGTATTTTGAAATATTGGGCAGACTAGATGGGCCAAATGGTTCTTATCTGCCGTCACATTCTATGTTTCTATGATGTAGTATCCCTTTTCCTGCTACGGCCAGGAAAACAACTATTCAAGCTAATGCGGAATAACACCGATAACTCAGACATTCATGCCATGGTTGCCTCACTAGTAGCATCTATGAGCAAGGTTAATGATAGGCTTGATCGGATCGAGGCTCGGAGCCTTCCTATTATGTCATCTATGCCCTCAGCTACTGTACTCCCCAATGCTCCACTATAACAAACGGTTAATTACTTGCCTTCTGGTTCCGTAACCCACATTATTAATCCGGTGCATATGGTTCCCGTAAACATTAAGAAAGACATCTTGGAGGGGAAAGATGTTAATCTTGTTGCACGTCTTATCGCTTCACACGATGTTATTGAGAACCGCACTTATACTTATGGTGATATTTCGGTGGTGTTAAAGGCCATGGACCCTAGACGTAATAAGAAACTGTCTATACCCGATTTTGTCATTGCATTTGGTTTCTATCGGGATGTAATTTGTTCGGTATACTCGCATAGATGAGAGAAACTATACCTCTATTTGCACAAGCTGGTGGACTTGGGAAATAAATACGGTGGGTCATCCTTTTATGATTACCACCGATCCTTTTCGGCAAGGACGTCTGCAATTTTGGCTCAGTACAACATATGGATACTGAGCTATTTTGCAGACACTTTGCTGGTCTGAAGACACCTGCTTGTGCAATTTGTGCTTCCACCTCACATGCCTTGGGCTATTGTCCCATCATGCCAGAGTCCACACCTTGGACTTTCCAGGAGACACAGACTAGGATGGACAGATCAGGCAAGGACAAACTCGGTCGTCCTATTGTTTACCTTGGGAAGTCACAGGTGTGCAACAACTTTTATGTAGGTACATGTGGATATAGTGCCTGCAAATTGTTACATGTGTGTTCACATTGTTTTAGGGCTCATGCCAAATCCATGTGTCCTAATAAGTCATGCTAAACCGTATCTGACATTGGTTCTTTGACTCACGCATTAGCTTCTTACCCATCCAAACATCTAGTGGATTTTTTGATTGATGGTTTCACGGAGGGATGTCATACAGGTCTGGTACATATCTCTGCTGGCATTTACGAATGCAACAATTTGCAATCAGCGTTTTCTGATGTGGAAACGGTTGATGCTCTTTTACAAAGAGAATTGGAAGATGGGTTTTTGTTGAGACCTTTTCAGGCACCCCCATTTTCCAATTGGAGAACCAACCCTATAGGATTAGTTCTTGGGTAATCCTCAGGGAAACACACTCATTTTATATCTGTCCGTACCTCACTCCTTGGCCATACCTAGCCTTAACTCTCTAATCCCATCCGAGGAATCTTCCCTTCAGTACGCCACCATAGACACCATACACACCATTATTACAGCTGGTGTAGGGACTTGGCTGAGTAAGACAGACATCATCAATGTGTTTAAATTACTACCCATACGCCCATCGCAATGGCATCTGCATGGTCTGAAATGGAAAGGTTTATATTATTTTTTTTAACAAGGCTCACCTTTGGGTCAAAAAGCAGCCCGAAAATATTCGATACATTTGCGAAACCTTATGTTGGCTCCTGTTGAACAATTGCAGATGCCATTCTGTAATACATTATTTAGACGACTTTCTGTTTGTGGAGAATAATTCCTCTCCTCTCAGTGATCTAACTAAGGCCATCTCGTTTTTTCATTCCTTGGGGTTGCCAGTTTCTTCCAAGAAAACAGAAGGCCATGACACGTTGGTACATTTTTTGGGTATCCGGCTTGATTCAGTGAGCATGGAAGCTAGCCTTCCCTTAGGCAAGTTGATGGTATCCTACAAACCATGAAACAACATTCTGCATAATAGGACATGCAATCAAAAGGAATTGTAATCTTCGTTGGGCTCACTAAATTTTGCTATACCCATCATTCCTCAAGTTAGAGCCTTTATTTCTAGACTCCTTTGCATTCTTCCACTATTGCCAAATGACTTTAGCCGTATTTGCTTGGATTTATTAATGTTGGGCAAATTCTTGTTGCAATGGAATGGCAGAAGTATGTTTTTACCACAATTGTCTATTCATTCTCCTGTCATTTGGACGGATGCTGCAGCATCAACAGGTTTTGCTGCCATATTTGGCAATGAGTGGCTCTAGGATGGTTGGCCAGAGGAGGTTCAGCACATCAAAGGGTTCTCACGCACCTCAGCCTTATTCGAGGTATACCCTATAATTGCAGCAGCCGTGGTATGGGGTCAGTCTTGGGCAGGTAGCTCGGTACACTGTTTCTCCGACAACCTAGCTACCTGCCACATCATAAACAAGGGACGTTCCTCATCTCTGACGATCATGAGATTCATGAGAAGACTGACCTGGTTGGCAGCCTGTAATCAATTGTATTTGGTGTGTTGTCATGTAACAGGGATTTATAATACTGCAGCTGACAAATTGTCTCGCTTTGAATTCCAGGCCTTCAGAGACACGTTAACCACGGCCTCCCCAACAGCCACTGCAGCACCATGTTTTCAGGAACTGGTAATGGATTAAAAGAATTAGCAAGGCATAGTCTCGCCTTGGCTAGTTTGGCCCTCTCTGAGATTACAAAACTGTCTTACAATAGAGCTTTCACATTGTTTAAGAGATTTATGTTAGAACATAACTTGGTTCAGTTTTTTACTATTTCAACTCTGGTAGCTTTCGCATCATTTTGTCATCTCAAACTCAAACTATCTCACAACACCATTAAATTAGATTTAACCGGCATCCAACACCACATGTATACCTTATACCCAGACAACCCTAGTTTTTTATCATCATTTTTTACCCCAATAAAAACATACTAAAAGGGGGCGTGGCTGACAGTTCACTGAACCAGACGTCTTTCTGTGGAGCTCCGTCAGGGCCCCACAAACTAGAGTAACAAGCCGCTAAAAATACTGTTGACGAACCTCACAACCCACCACCGCCACAGATAACGAAATGGGGCACAAAAACAAACCGCATCCTGAGCCACCTCGTACCCAAGATATCAGGCTTTCCTTCAGCAGGCACCACGGCCACAGTCTAAGATGGTGCCAGAGACTCACACGGACCCTGAAACCTCTGAGGACTCCCAGGATGTAGAGAAATTGATTCCCTCATCCATACATGGGGAGACACCCCACACCTCTGAGTCGGAAGAAGACTCGTCCCCATCCACTCAAGGGGATATTAACAAGCTGTTAACAGACCTAAGGAAGGTCTGGAAGGCAGATCTGGCAGAAGCCCAAAACGAAATGGGTGTCATACACAAAAAGGTGAAGGAGGTGGAGGCGAGGGAAACGGCAAGAGACAGCCACATACAAGAAGCCAGAAGCCTAATGGAGGGACTCAAAGCACAAGTCCACCAGCTGCACCGGACAGTGACCCTACTCGAAACCAGGCACAGGCACCAGAACATCCAAATCCGGGGGCATCCCAGAATCTGTAGAGGGGGAGCAGCTGCTGGAATTCACAAGAAACATGGTCGCAGCCCTAGGAGTTGAGAGTTGTGCAGCCTCTCCCCATATAAAGTCAGTGTTCAGAGTGAAAAAAATCTGTCGCAGCACCTAGCAATGCCCCCAGAAACATCATTGCACTCACGAGAGACATTGCAGCGCGAGCCGAGATCATGGCTCGATCCAGGGCACTTCAAACCATACACTACGAGGGAATGCGCTGGAGATCTACAGTGATCTCCCCTTTGCGGTTACATAGTTACATAGCAGAAAAGAGACTTGTGTCCATCAAGTTCAGCCTTCCTCACATATGTTTTTGCTGTTGATCCAAAAGAAGGCAAAAAACCTAGTCTCAAGCGCTTCCAATTTTGCAACAAACTAGGAAAAAATCCTTCTTGACCCCAAAATAGCAGTCTGATGTCTCCTTGGATCACGCAGCTATTACCCCACTAATTAGAAATTATATCCCTGTATGTTATGTTTTTGCAAGTATTTATCCAATTGCAATTTAAACATTTGTATAGACTCTGACAAAACCACCTTTTCAGGCAGAGAATTCCATATCCTTATTGCTCTTACCGTAAAAAAAAACCTTTTCTTTGTCTTAGATGAAATCTCCTTTCTTCCAGCCTAAATGTGTGACCTCGTGTCCTATGTATAGCCCCTGTTTATGAATAGATTTCCAGATAATGGTTTGTACTGGCCCCGAATATATTTGTATAATGTTATCATATCCCCTCTGAGGCACCGTTTTTCCAAACTAAAGAGATATACATTTTTTAACCTTTCTTCGTAACTAAAATGCTCCATTCCTTTTTATCAATTTTGTAGCTCGTCTCTGCACTTTTTCTAGTGCCATGATATCTTTCTTTAGAACAGGTGCCCAAAATTGCACAGCATATTCAAGGTGTGGTCTTACCAGCGATTTATAAAGAGGCAAAATTATATTTTCATCCCGAGAATGTATGCCCCTATTTATACATGAAAAAACCTTACTGGCCTTAAAAACTGCAGATTGACATTGTATATTGCTGCCTAATTTGTTGTCTATAACAATTCCCAAATCCTTCTCGTGTGTGGTTATCCCTAGTTCACTACCATTTAGGGTGTAAATTGCTTGTGCATTCTTAACCCCAAAGTGCATAACTTTGCATTTCTCTACTTTAAATTTAATCTGCCATTTTAGTGCCCAGTCCCCCAATCTATCCAAATCCTTCTGCAGCAAAGCAATATCCTGCTCACATTTTATTACTTTACAAAGTTTTGGGTCATCTGCAAACACTGAAACATAGCTTTCAATGCCTATTTCAAGATCATTTATAAATATGTTAAATAGAAGCGGTCCCAAAACAGAACCGTGAGGGACACCACTTACCACTTTTGTCCAGCCTGAAAATTTACCATTAATGACAACTCTATGTTCTCTATCCTTAAGCCAATGTTCTACCCAAGAACAATAATATTCATCTAGACCAATTTCTTTTAGTTTGAAGACTAACCTATTGTGAGGAACCGTATCAAATGTCTTGACAAAATCCAAGTAGATCACATCCACTGCAACACCCTGATCTATACTTCTACTTCTTCGTAGAATGCAATTAGGTTAGTCTGACATGACCTATGTTTCATAAAACCATGCTGAATATTGCTAATTGCTTATTGTTCTTCCCAATAAATTCCTGAATATTATCCCTTAATAGCCCTTCAAATATTTTCCCAGTCACAGAAGTTAAGCTCACAGGTCTATAGTTTCCAGGCAAGGATTCTGAACCCTTTTTAAATATAGATACAACATCTGCCTTCCTCCAATCCTCCGGTACAATACCTGAAACAAAAGAATCTTGAAAAATTAAATACAGAGGTTCACTTATTTCCCCACTTAGCTCCTTAAGTACTCGTGGGTGAATACCATCAGGCCCCGGAGCTTTATTTACATTAATTTTCTTTAATAGCTGTAGCACCTTGTCTCACGTTATCCAATTGCAAGTTATCTGCAGGTTTTTTGCAGCAATCATTTGCATACTTCTTGCCATAGGATCCTTATTAATATACAGGTGATACTCAAAAAATTAGAATATCGTGCAAAAGTTAATTTATTTCAGTAATGCAACGTAAAAGGGGAAACTAATATATGAGATAGATGCATTACATGCAATGCAGGAGTTCAAGCCGTGATTTGTCATCCGTGCGATGATTATGGTTTACAGCTCATGAAAACCCCAAATCCACAATCTCAGTAAATTAGAATATTGTGAAAAGGTGCAATATTCTAGGCTCACAGTGTCCCACTCTAATCAGCTAAGTAAGCCATAACACCTGCAAAGGGTTTCTGATCCTTTAAATGGTCTCTCAGTCTGGTTTAGTAGGAATCCCAATAATGGGGAAGATTGCTGACCTGACAGTTGTGCACAAAACCACCATTGACACCCTCCATAAGGAGGGAAAGGTAATTGCGAAGGAAGTTGGATGTTCCCAAAATGCTGTATCAAAGCACATTAATAGAAAGTTATGTGGAAGGGAAAAGTGTGAAAGAAAAACTTGCACAAGCAGCAGGGATGACCGCAGCCTGGAGAGGATTGTGAGGAAAAGGCCATTCAAAAGGGTTGGGGACTTTCACAAGGACTGGACAAGAGCCACCACACACAGACGGGTCCTGGACATGGGCTTCAGATGTCGTATTCCTCTTGTCAAGCCACTCCTGAACAACAAACAACGCCAGAAGCGTCTACCTTGGCTAAAGAAAAACAGACCTGGTCTGTTGCTCAGTGGTCCAAAGTCCTCTTTTCTGACGAGAGCAACTTTTGCATCTCATTTGGAAACCAAGGACCCAAAGTCTGGAGGAAGAATGGAGGGGCACACACTGCAAGATGCTTGAAGTCCAGTGTGAAGTTTCCACAGTCTGTGTTGATTTGGGGAGCCATGTCATCTGCTGGTGTTGGTCCACTGTGCTTCATTAAGTCCAAGGTCAACACAGCCGTCTACCAGGAGATTTTGGACCACTTAATGCTTCCTTCCACAGACGAGCTTTATGGGGATGCTGACTTCATTTTCCAGCAGGGCTTGGCACCTGCCCACACTGCGAAAAGCACCAGAGCCTGGTTCAATGACTGTGGGATTACTGTGCTTGATTGGCCAGCAAATTCACCTGACCTGAACCCCATAGAGAGTCTATGGGGCATTGCCAAGAGAAAGATGAGACATGAGACCAAACAATGCAGAAGAGCTGAAGGCCTTTCATAACACCTCAGCAGTGCCACAGGCTTATAGCTTCCATGCCACGCCGCATTGAGGCAGTAATTGCTGCAAAAGGGGCCCAAACCAAGTACTGTGTCCATATGCATGCTTATACTTTTCAGAGGTCTGATATTGTTCTATGTACACTTCTTGTTTTATTGATTGTGTGTAATATTCTTATTTACTGATATTGTGGATTTGAGGTTTTCATGAGCTATAAGCCATAATCATCGCACTTATGACAAACCATGTTTTGAACTATCTTGTTTCGCAAGATCGCAACTATCTCGTATATTAGTTTCCCCTTCTCCGTTGCATTACTGAAATAAATTAACTTTTCCACAATATTCTAATTTTTCGAGTATCACCTGTATAGATACAGATATAGATGTGTGTGTGTGTGTGTGTGTGTGTGTATACACACACTTATACAATGCATACAGGTAGGTTGCTCATTTTAACAGGTAACCTTCACTAACCTCCTAAAGAAAACACAGATTGTACTGCCGTTGATAGTAAGGAAAACATAATGTCTTACCGTGCATATACTGGCATTATAGGAGGGAGATAGCAAGAACTCACAAATAGAGTGGGTTTCATCAGATTACAGCTGAGGTCAAGATAGCTTGTAATGATCAATAAACATATTTTTTATAATTTATTTTTCACATCTCAACATTTTTTTATTGAATTACTTTCATTACAAAATTCTACACAAAAAGTTATATGCAATGCTCAAAGTGAGTGTTGCATACTGCACAATAAATGCATTAAAAACACTGCGGCTAAGCAGATTCTGAACAGGGTGATCAGTGCTTGGCTTTGCCAGCTGCCCACAGTTTAATCGGCTTGCCTAATTTTCAGCATTACAGAGATATGTTTATAATGCTGAAAACAACTTGTAGATGGTGGCAATATACAGCTCTACTGTGTTAAGGAAACCCATACTGTCTTAAGGAAACCCATATGCTGATATTTGTATTGATGTTGGCAAAGGGATTCCCATAGGGAGGGGGTAAGGTTAGTGTTAGGGTAGTTTCAGGCTAGGTTTAGTTGTATGGTTAGTCTTAAAGTACGGGTTAATGCTGGGGTTACTGACAGTGTAGGAGAAAGGTGTAATAGAGTTAGTGTATGCATAGTGTACGTAGGGGGTTGCTATAGGGTTAGTGTTACCTACCAAAAATGTACTTAGAATCCAATTGTAAACAGTTTAACCTCTAAAGGTATTGCTGCACCTAGGACCTCCAGACAACATAACTTCATTGAGATAAAGTTGTTATGGTTCCTGGAGTATTCCTTTTAATGTTAGTTTTTTTGTATGTACTCTGCTGTTACAACTGCTTCATATACTCTGCTGTAACTCTGTTACTAACTCACCCAAGCTTGACCTTTGGTAAGTAGACACCTAACCACTACATTAACACTAAAGTATTCAGCCCACTATGTATTTGCATGAGATCAATATACAATTGATGGTGTTTTCTTTGTTCTTGCAGTATATAATGCTATGTTGCCATTGCTATTCTCGAGAGAATGCTCTCCAACATATATTACTTCCATCTGTGTTCAATTAAATTCAAGTTTTCTTATGTACTATCATCTCTTGTTTTCTTAGTGGAAGCAGAGAGGTGACCGATGATGGATCAATTCCAGGAGATGGATTGGGAGCTGGTGGTCTTGACTCAAGCTTTTACAGCCATCTAAAGCGCAACTGGATTTGGATAAGCTATATTATTAATAAAGCTCGAAAGGTTGGCATCTTAAATATTACAGATTTAAACTTTTGCTACAGACTTGCCTTAAAGAGACACTATAGGCACCCAGACCAGTTCATCTCATTGAAGTGGTCTGGGTTCACTGTCCCTGTCCCTGTCCCCTCAAACCTGCAATCTAAAACATGTTTTGTTTATATTGCAGGGTTACACCTGCTTCTAGTGGCTATCTACGAGACAGCCTCTAAAGGCGCTTCCTGCTGTTTTGTTGGAGTTCGATTCCATGACACAACGCTTCCAACATCCCCAAATCCCCATAGTAAAACATTGAGTCAGTGCTTTTCTATGGGGAATGCCTAATGCTCATGCACTATACATGCCCATTAGGTTTTCCTCTGTAATGGTGAGTGTTAAAATGTTTTTAAAAAAACATTATTTGTTGGCGGGGGGGAGGGGGGGGGGAATTGTATTCCTAACACTACAGTGTTCCTTTAAATGATAACAGTAAACACCATAGCACCTAATGTGTCATCTAACATATTTGATTTTATAGTTACATGACCACCAATGTTTTCTATGCTCAAAATATCATTTACTCTTACATTTGTGTGTAGTTGTGCCTCCCTTCTCTTAGAAGCACAAGCTTTAGGCTCAGAATTCTCAAACTCCACCCAATTCCCTTCCCCTCCAACTAATTAGAAAAAAAAATGACAATTTTAAATATGATGAAAAATATTGTATGTACACACATGTAGAGTGAGTGAGTGTTGTATATACATGTGTGTATGTGTATAGCGTGTGCAGTAGTGTGTGTTTGTAATAATGTGGGGAGCAGGATGTGTAGCTGTATGTGTATAGTAAGTCTGTTTAACAGTGTGTGTGTGTAGAAGTATGTATGTACAGAGTGTGGAGGAACATGAGTAGCAGTGTGTAATAATGTGGGGAGCTAAGCAGGTGTGTTTACCTCAGTCTGTCAGAGTCCAGTCCTTTCCCTCCTGCAGATTGCTGTGTTCAGCCTGAGGATGTGTGTCATGCATAGATCAAACGACCCCAGAGTTCTGGAGGTAGGGAGGGTATTTTAACAGGCAGAGTAGGCACCTTTAGGCATGTGCTACTCTGCCTTATGGGATATCCGGCCCTTCTTAGAATGTAAGCTCACTTGTGTATGTATAGTTAGTCTTGTGGCAGATATTTGTTTTAGTCTAGCACTGTATAGGTTGTCACATAAGTAATAATAATGATAATTTCAAACTTTGAAATAAATCCTGTATAAATAATTTGTGTAGAAATGTCAAGAATTATGAACTCATTATATAAATATAGTGAATAAGTAAATGAGCGGATGCCAACATGCGGGTTTGTTTGTTAATCATTTTATGGAAAAATATTTAATAGTAATAAGAAGGCGTAAAGAGAAACTCAGAGCACCAAAATCAACTTTAACTTAATAAAGTAGTTTTATTGTATATATTATGCTCCTAACCAGTCTAAACACCCAATTCTCTTCAATTTAGGCATTAAATCACTTTGTATGTGAAGCCACACCTTCTCTGGCTGAGACTTGCATTCTGCATTTTATTTTAGCTTCCCTTGCACAGTGTGTTTAATTTAGAATGTCTTATCTCCTGTTCCTTTAATAGTTGGAGATAAGGACTTCTAAAATAAAACTGTACTGTAAGATCTGATGAAACCTTTTATCTTAAAGAAGCACTATATGGTTAAAACCACCATCTAGCCACCCTGGTCCCCTCATGCCTCTAAACATAAAGTAAAATCTTACTTGAATTCAAGCCTGCAGTTGCATAGTTTGTCCCTGTTTTCTTTAGACCTGCCCCACTGCCTGCTGACATTGTTAAGGATATTAAATTACCCGGAGATATGTTCAGGTGGACACCAAATTGACACTTTAAATTACGAGCTGCTCGGAGAAAGTAATCAGACCAGACAGTTTTTGATTCAAAGATTACTTCCTTATTTTATTGTGTAAGCTTACAGATTATATAGTATTTTGTAAAGACAGCTTTGTGATTTGCACGCCAAAAACCTGATGGGTGAAGTCACACTGTACCATAAAAGGGAAATTACAATACTAAGCATATTTCAATGGTTATATATATATATAAAAACATTAGGACATCAGAAGGGAGGTTGATGGGGGAAGCTGCAATTGTCTCCTCATAAACCACAGAATGTCACAAGTCATGATTTTATGCTTACTTGTGCTTATTTGTCAGACACTTGAAACTAGACTAAAAATTAAAAGCAGAACATAAGTAAGTAAAGACTGGACAACTGGTCATCTTAAAAGCTTGAGCCTGGGGTCAAGGTATCTTCCATCAATAATTCCATTACAATTTCCCTCTTTTTGACCCAGGTGTCTGAGGTATTTCCAGGTATGCTAGTCAAAACCTGTGGGTCTTTTATTAATGCCTTCACCACGGTTCCCTCAGACAGGGCAAGCCAGGGGTCACAGGAGGAATGATCCTTCATCAGTTATACAGCTCTGTAGGTGTCAGAGGTTGAGGAAGCTGGCATATAACTTAAGGTACGACCAACATGAAGAACTTAAATGTCAGAAAAAACATCATTATGACCAATACTGCGATAAGTAACAAATACAATATTTTCTTAATTAACATATTGAGCCATGTACCAAGACAAAAGTTCCAATCGCAATGCCCAAAGAACCCTTTATCTTGTTTTATTCCCTTCACTAGATCGTGAAGAATCTGTATATGCTCATGGATCATTGTCCATTGATCCTATAGATTAAAGCAACACATGCCCTTTACTGCCTCACACCCTAAATCATGTTTCATTAACAAATAGTAAATTTTCAAGGATCGCTTTTTTATTAACCTGGGTATCCATTAGAAGTTCCTCCAGGGCCTGGCATGTCCCATTGAAACCTTTTTGGCGAGGGAACAGGCTAGGGCATCAATTACTTGGTTATTATACAGTGCTAAGCCCGGTACTCCTAACATTTAATAGGCTGTGTAACAGGTTATATTCAAGAGGAAACAGGGGTGGTCTTATAAACATTATCCAATAATAACATCATTCATCAATCTTGACTCAACATATAGATAGCTAGCTTGCAGGTGTAATGGGGGAGTACTCATTATAGTTTCAGTTTAACTACACAGCTGAAATAAAAAGTTACTACGCACTCATAAAATACATATGTTACTACGCAGTTAGAAATACAGAAATAGAAAACAGCAAATAAGACCAACGCTCTGAGACAGGAAAGTTCATAACTCTGTCTAGGGGTACTTACATTGAGCATTGTATATAGACAAAATATATTATTTCAAATAGGAAACAAGCTCCATGTTAACCAATTTTAAACAGACTGAACATCCAGTTATCTGTAGCAGGAGCCTTGGTTCAGTATAGGCAAAGTGTATTATTCCCAACACTTTCCAACCTTTTTTCACATGGTGAATGCCTATAGTTAAAATGGGAATAATACCCATCCCTCGTCCGTGGACCAGGGTTTAGGATTACCAGTCCACCCAGTGATCTGGGGCCAGGTCATAAAAACCCAGTGACAAAAACTCATATGTAAGAAAAAAAGCACACCTGGGGAAACCCTGAATGGGGGCCACAATAGTATAAACATGTCATCCCTCACGTTGACACCACCTGTGACTTCTAACAGCCGCACCGGTGAATACATAGCTTGGGTATTGGGAGGAGATGTGAAACATTCTTGATAATGATGGGAAAAGCCCATTTGCATATTATCATCATTAAGTATATTATCATCAAACTCACAATTATTACAGTAATTGCAACCAGGACCTTACGTCTTATATCTCCTAACCACTTCCCTATTCCAAAGGTCCAGTCAAACCAAGTCATATCCACATCCAATTCATCAAAACATGGGAATCCATCCTTGGCACACTGAACATACATCAACACCACATACTGCATCCCTCCCTGGGCCAGCTAACACTCCATCCCTCTCTGGCTAACTCTACAAAAAATAAAAATAACAAAATAGTTCAGCATAGTTCAGAAAAAATAGAAGTCCTTCAAGGAGTATAAATAAATCCGTTCGGACACCATACATTTTGTTCCATAAAATAGCTAAGGGTAGCAAAATGGCTGACAACAAGACCATGTCAGGTTCCACATAGTTCTTAGTTCTTCTTTTGTTAGCTGCATTTTCACCACAATGCTCTGTGCAACACCCCAATTGTTGAAAGGGTTAATACAGAACCAGCGGCATTAGACAGCACTGCACCTTCAGGACTTTCCAGGGTCTTGCGTACAAAGGTTATGTCCTCATAAGTAAGCATCACAGTTTCTCCAGCCTTCATGGATTTTGACCAAACAGATGTAATTGCAAAATAGGTAGTGCAAAGTCAGCCAGAGAGAGAGATTGGTGCGCAATCCCAAGAAGCAGGTAGCACAAACACTCCAGGATGATCTCTACAAGTATACAAACACAAGGATCAATACGACATGAACAATTCCTAAAAGGATATATCTATTATTATCAATTTATCAATTACCTAGGCTAAAAGTCAAATAAGAGACTAAAATTAAATCCTTAACTGGTGTAACGTGTACTTTTCTCAGCTTTGCTTATATTTCATGAAATTTGTCTTCTATGAAATTTTACATAATTCCCTTTGGAATGCCTTTGTACAGACAAGAGAAACACTCACTCTATATAAATACTTGATTGGACAGGATGGGTACTAAAACACTTTCTTGGGCAAGTGACTGATTAAATCTATGTACATAATCTTAACATACACATATGGGGATAATTCCCAATAAACTCTGTTCTTAAACTTAAACCTTGATTTGATAATCTCAATTACTTTAATAACCCCAAATAATTCAATAAACTATATATAAAATATTAAAAACATGAACCATCTAATTTAAACATTACTCAAAAAGTATTATCTTACCATAAAATCCTAACTTATGGTCTTTGTTCCCTATAATGAATAATCCTAGGGTGAGATGTGGTTGGGCATAGCGCAAACGGAGTATAAAAAAAAAAATCTCTAACCACAAAAGCTTAATTTTATATGCATATCAAAAAACAAGTTTAACCCATTTGAAAATAACCCCTTGAAATTATTATATAATTTATCCTCTTCTGGGTCTGCAAAATGGGTCTTTCAATTTGACAATACAAATATAATACAGTACTTTAGATTAGAATTGCCTCGCTTATAAATGTCAGAAATTGTCTGATCTCTATTAAAAATACAATTTCATCATTACCCTATGATCAATGTGGCATACTAGATGAATCTTACTTTGGGAATAAACCCCCCATCCTCTACATACTCCCACAGATTGGTGTTTCTGCCCAGTTAAAAAGGCAGAACAATCAATATGGATAACATAATTTCCTTTGACACAAATAATGCAATACACTTTAAAAGTAGAGTTAACTCTGAGCTGGAAAATAGCTGGACAATACTCCCCTGTGAGAGGTAGCTGGAGTACTCCTTTATAAGGGAGAGTCGTCTTCTTGTTCATGTATACTTTTTCTCAGTGAAAGAATAACATTCAGGATTAGTCAGTTTGCAAAGGGAAACGTGGATCCACGATTTGAATACCAGAAGTTTGTGGGGCCCCATTTATGTGAAATGTAACAAAGCATTTTTCTCAAAGTCTCATATTATTATCAAATAATGTCCTGGAGTGATAGCATGCATTGGATTTATTCTTGCTGGCTTTATAGCATTTTACCTGTCGTAAAAACACTAAATGCTTTCGTAAATGACAGGCAAATATTCTTAACTTTACTATTTAAACTCATAAACAATAGACATTAACAAGGAAGGACCACAGAACATACCAATTCATTAAAACCCATAGAACTTAAACTCAGCAATCATTGTAATATCAAACCTGTTGTCATCTGACAAAACTGAACACAGGTCCGAAGGACCAGACGTAGTAGATACACATAATAGATGCCCAGCAAATATGGGCACGCAACTAAACCATAACCATTCCAAAATAAATGAACAAATTTCACACTCTGTTTCCCTTAGAATAAACACAGTTTGACACAATGTAGTTCCTATGCACGTGATAGATTACAACTGCAGTCTTAAACTAACACTTCCAATTAAATATGCAACACCATTCTCATACCTATGTATAAAAAGCCTTTTAAAAAAAATAATGAAAATTTCTGCAAACTGTTTGACTACTACAGAAGCAGACAACCAGCATTGAAGATAGATCGCAAGACTTGGCAAATGAACAGGAAAGTTGAATAAAACAGGAAGTCAACTATTGCAACAGCAATACAGTAGACTAACACTGTAGAACAGACCGCAAAATTAGAGCTGTTAGAACTACTCAAACTCCCACTGCTCTTGGACAGAAGCAATAACGCAGCATTCAACAGCCACCAAAACAGTTATTTAATAGGTTATTAGGCTGGCATTTCCATCTGTATCAATAGACTGGGACAAACTGATTCAAATATGTTTTAAAACAACACAGTAAAATAGCAATTTTAGTTAACCTGCACACTTCATAATGGGTATTCAAAACACATATTAACACAGGCACCAATTACACAGAATAAACTCATAACATCTGTATTCAGAACATATTATTGTAAGGTATACCAATTTTAATTTGTATCAGATTTATTCTAGGGTTATTGTATACATGTATTTCCTTAAATACCATATTACTTAATCTACCATAGTATTGTTTATAAAGAAGGGATCCCTTTATATAGCGCTCTCGTCTTACATATTCGTGTGAAACTTGCATTAATTTATTGCAAGATCTGTACCCTCTCAATAAAATTTCTCTCTGAGATGATGCTACATCATCCAAAATCTTATAGAAATTGAGCAAATTTTGGACCAGATTACAAAGACATGTTATTACCCGAATCTCTCAGAACTCTCAGAGACTCAACATTATTATGCTAGACCATGTTAGGCATGGCAAACCTTTTTGGATCGATCCAGTTGAGTGTTTAAGAGCCACAGCGAAACGTTTAACCCCTTCCCGACCGTGGACGGAAATTTTCCGTCAACCTTGTCCTTCAGTTAAGGACCGTTGACGGAAAATTTCCGTCATTTTCTTAAGTTAACCCCAGATCGCCGCGATCGCGGCAATCGCGGGGTTAACGGTGCTCCGGTCTGCCTCTGCATTAGAGGCAGACCGGGAGCACCCGATCGGGCTGCCCCAGCACCGGTGCTCGCTCTGACAGCATGTCAGAGCGAGCACATGTGCTCCACATACTCACCTTCCGCCTCCCTGCACTTCCGGGTTCTGTGTGAAGTGCAGGGAGACGGATCAGTGCTGATCTGCTTCCCTGTGTAAAAAAAAAAAAAATTAAAGTTAAATCCCACCCCCCCTGCCCCTGTTTTAATAAAATTAACCCCTTCCCTGCCAATTGATCACTGACTACAGTGATCAATTGGCAGGGTATACATTTTAATGTCATCTGATTTTTTTTTTTTTAACCCCTGAGGGTTAATTATTTTTTTTTTAACCCTCAGGGGTTAAATTTATTTTATTAATTAATTTAAATATTAAAAAATTATATATTTAGCTAGCTGGGATGGGTGGAAGTTAGTGGGGAATTGGGGAATTTGGTGTTAGGCTAACTAGGGGTTAACGTTAAAAAAAGTTTTAAAATAAGCTTTAAAAAGGTAAAAAAAAAAATTTTTTTAAATGTTTTAGTAACGTTTAAGTAAAAAAAAAAAAAATACCACCCCCTTTACCCAGTCTAAATAAAAATTAACCCCTTCCCTGCCAGCTGATCACTGCCTACAGTGATCAAAATACAGATCACAGTATTATACTGTGATCTAATTTTTTTAACCCCTGAGGATTAACTTTTATTTATTTTTTTAACCCTCAGGGGTTCCATTTATTTAATTAATTAATTTAAATATTTTATAATTAAATATTTTGCTAGCTGGGGTGGGTGGGAGTTATGGGAAAATGGTGAATTTACGGTTAGTGCTGCTTACTGCTAGTTAGGGGTTAACGGTAAAAGAAAAGTTTAGAAAAAAAATTAAAAGTGTAAAAAAAGTTAAGATAGTGTAAAACATTTAATAAGTAAAAAAAAAAGTTTAAAAATGGGTTTTACAAAGTAAAAAAAGTTTTACAAAGTAAAAAAATACATTTAAAAATGCTCATTACCACTACACTTGGTACAAGCTAGCGGAAATATTATCCCACGCTAAGGTTCAAAATATGCCTTTTGAATTACCCTGGGATGTCTTCTTTAAGAAATGATATGCCTTTATGGTGTAATTGGATGATATAGCCTTGTAAAATACTCTAAAATGGGACATGGACACAGCGTAAAAATTCAAAGTTTGGAAAAAACTGGAATGGCTGTGTCTCAAATGTGCCCCTTCAATGTCCACATATACCTGGCAAAGGTACATACGGGGGTATTGCTGTACTCAGCGACATAGCTGAACAACATATGAAGTAGTATACAGTCGTAGTACACATAAGGTTTGCAAAATATACTGCGCAAACTCACTTTGTGTGTCAAAAAGGCAGAAAAAATGCTTATTACCACTACACTTGGTACAAGCTAGCGGAAAAATTATCCCACGCTAAGGTTCAAAATAGGCCTTTTGAATTACCCCGGGATGTCTTCTTTAAGAAATGGTATGCCTTTATGGTGTAATTGGATTATATAGCCTTTTAAAATACTCTAAAATGGGACATGGACACAGCGTAAAAATTCAAAGTTTAAAAAAAATGGAATGGCTGTGTCTCAAATGTGCCCCTTCAATGTCCACATAAACCTGGCAAAGGTACATACGGGGGTATTGATGTACTCAGCCGACATAGCTGAGCAACATATGAAGTAGTATACAGTCGTAGTACACATAAGGTTTGCAAAATATACTGCGCAAACTCACTTTGTGTGTCAAAAAGGCAGAAAAAATGCTTATTACCACTACACTTGGTACAAGCTAGCGGAAAAATTATCCCACGCTAAGGTTCAAAATATGCCTTTTGAATTACCCCGGGATGTCTTCTTTAAGAAATGGTATGGCTTTATGGGGTATTTGGATTATATAGCCTGGTAAAATACTCTAAAATGGGACATGGGAACAGTGTAAAAATTTAAAGTTTGAAATGAACTGGAATGGCTGTGTCCCAAATGTGCCCCTCCGATGTCCACATATACCTGGCAAAGGTACATACGGGGGTATTGATGTACTCAGCCGACATAGCTGAGCAACATATGAAGTATTATACAGTCGTAGCACACATAAGATTTGCAAAATGTACTGCGCAAATTTACTTTGTGTGTCAAAAAGGCAAAAAAACGCTTATTACCATTACACTTGGTACAAGCTAGCGGAAAAATTATCCCACGCTAAGGTTCAAAATATGCCTTTTGAAATACCCTGGGATGTGTTCTTTAAGAAATGGTATGCCTTTATGGTGTAGTTGTAATATGTAGCCTGCTCAAGTGCTCCAAAGTGGGCACGGACGCATCAAAACCCTCCATGAAAATTCACACTTAAAAACCTTAACTTGTTACGTCTCTTTTATAGCAGTGTAACTTCACAAAATAGTGTCTAGGTCATACATTGGGCATATTGTTTTACTCAGAAGACTTAGCTGAGCATAATTTGGGGGGTTTGAACTTAGTGGCACATATGAAATGTACAAAATGCCCAGCAAAAATGTAATCCGTATGTAAAAAATGCCCAAAATTATTTTTTACCACATACTTTGGCATATATTGGTGAAAAAATGGGGGCATGTTAAGGCACAATATGCACCATATGAGATACCCTGGAGTGTCTACTTTTATAAATGGTAGGCCTTTGTGGTTTTTTTTTGAACAGTCAAACTGCTATAATACCCCAAATTGAAGCATAGGCCCATTAAATCCGCCTCTCAAAATTCTACTGTAAATGTTGAAACGGACAGGTCTCCTATATGGCACTGTAGCTTCACGAAATAGTGCCAAAGACATACAATGGGGGTATCGTTGTACTCAGCAGAAGTAACTGAACACAAAATAAAACTTTGTACAGGAATAGCACACACCAACTTTACAAAATATACATGGGAAGTTCTTTGTTATAAGTTTGTGTGCCAAAAACTCCAAAAAACTAAATTTTACTCCAATATTTAGCAGAGATTGGCGGTGAAATGGCTACTTAGAAAGTGTCAAAAAAACCTTAGGACAATAGCCTGTGATGTCTACTTTATATAAATATATACTTTTGTGTGGCAATTTTGTTTTCTTTTATGGCTATTAAGCTTACAAGACAAACATACAAAATTCTAAAATCGCTCTACATTAAAAGTTTATTTTACTCCTTGTGCTTTATGACCTGTAACTACCAAAAAAAACTTTAAATCCCAGACACATTATATATTTTGTAAATCAGAACAACTAAATAAATTTATTTTTAATTACTTTCTTTAACCTGCACTAATTAGGCACACATTATTATTGCAAAAACTGTACAAAAAACACAAAATTTTTCTTTTTTTTGCATTTTTCTGTATTTTTTAAATAATAAATAAGCATTTATATATATATATGTTACATCAAATTAAAGCCCTTTATGTCCTTTAAAAAACAGTATATAATATGTGTCGGTGCAATAAACGAGAGAGATGCAAATTGCAGTTGAACGCATACAGCAAGAAAATGCAAAAATTGCTTGTGTCATTAAGCGTAAGACAAGCTTCTGAAGCTGTGTCCTTAAGGGGTTAAGAGCCACAGCGAAACGTATAATCAACCTTTGTCCATGATATTCTGATCCAGTCTGCATACCTGACCAAAACTCAAAACAGGTTTGTGGTCACAAGACTAAAATCTCAGCATCCCCGTACAACAATTTGTAGATTTTCACAATTTGAAAGAACACATAATATTAGACATATTAGTCATAATAGGGAGTTTTTTCCCTCAAAGATTAATCTACAGAGAATCATAAAGCATATTCAGCAAGTAATGTACTGCATTCTTTAGAGTACCTTTAGCAAGGAAAAGTTAGCTTACAGCACAAAATGAAGCATGTGTTGGACCGCTGAAAAAGTAGATGTGGCTCTCTAATTTACAAACAAAAATATATTTACAGTATGGATCCTCTGCAAGAAACACCCAGGGCAGGGAAAATGTGGTGCTTGATGTTTTAGACAGTTAATCCCATATGGGGACTTAACTTTGAAATACTAATGAAGTGAATTTGTCCCAGTACGAAAATACTAGGCTCATCATTCAGACAATGCAACACAATCACAATATCCCACTCTCATGGAAAGTGTAGTGGGCTTATAGTATAGACATAACAATCATACCAGGCATATAGATCCCATGTGAAATAATATATAGCAATATAAACAGAAAAAGAAACTCATACTTTATGAAATAGGAGACTGGAAAAATAGTCAGAGATATCATGATAAATGGGATTACAGATCTGCACCCTTAAATACCCCAAAAAATTCCCTTATGGTGAAACATATATAGAACACCGCCCACACATAACTATCAACAAATATATAGATATATGTTGGAAAATAACATAAAACTATCATTCCCTATACACTCCCTCCGCCACCGGAGTAATCTCCTTTACCATACCAGAGACTTCAGTAGACTGCTCACCCACTGAGAGTGATAGGGAGAACCTGGCAGACTTCATAAATTCCTTCCATATCTGTGGGTCAAGGGTGCCCTCTGAGGGCATGCCAGCTTTCTTGAGTAATTTCTTTATTGCCTTCCTTTAAGATGATTAACGATAGTTAGAGCTGTAAACTCCTCCTCCTGGGTCATTTTTATGAGTTACCCTTCTCTAACATGTAAGGGGTAATTACTTCCTTAACCAAGACAAGACTATACAAACAGTGTTTAAACACTTAGGACCACTGCAGTGGAATTTCCAGTCTTTGTCTTCTTTATATAAACACAGATCAAAGATCTGACTTGGAGGATTCTTACTCTAACTATAAAACTATAAAGCAAATGACAAAGCAAAGTTAAGACCCACAGATATATTCTACTATCTCAAGATTCCAAGATTTCTTTCACAAGACATTCCAATTGAACATAACCAACCACAGAAAACAAGTTCTTTAGAAGGAGACCTATTTAAATCCATACTCATCCGGACTTAGGACTCGGAGAGCTAAATAGAGAGAGAATCTAGAAAGGTAGAAAACAGTTTTCTTACCGCTGCAGCTTAAGAGTCACTGTCTACAACCCTTGGTTTCCCAGTATTTCGTCTGGATGTAATGGATTGTTTTCTCCCGTGTTTCGGCACCAATTGTTAAGGATATTAATTTACCCGGAGATATGTTCAGGTGGAAACCAAATTGACACTTTAAATTACGAGCTGCTCGGAGAAAGTAATCAGACCAGACAGTTTTTTATTCAAAGATTACTTCCTAATTTTATTGTGTAAGTTTACAGATTATATAGTACTTTGTAAAGACAGCTTTGTGACTTGCGCGCCAAAAACCTGATGGGTGAAGTCACACTGTACCATAAAAGGGAAATTACAATACTAAGCATATTTCAATGGTTATATATATAAAAACATTAGGACATCAGAAGGGGTGTTGATGGGGGAAGCTGCAATCGTCTCCTCAGAAACCACAGAATGTCACAAGTCATGATTTTATGCTTACTTGTGCTTATTTGTCAGACACTCGAAACTAGACTAAAAATTAAAAGCAGAACATAAGTAAGTAAAGACTGGACAACTGGTCATCTTAAAAGCTTGAGCCTGGGGTCAAGGTATCTTCCATCAACAATTCCATTGCAACATCATCAGAAGTGGTAGCCTGAGCCAATAACAATGCTTCCCCATAGGATTGGCTGAGACTGAAAAGGAGGCAGATCAGGGGCAGAGCTCAAACACATCCCTAGCCAATCAGCATCTCCTCATAGAGATGAATTTAATCAATAAATCTATATGAGGAAAGTTCAGTGTCTGGATGCAGAGGGAGGAGATACTGAATGTGTTGATGCATTTTAGGCAGCCATGGCCCAGGAAGGATCTATAACAGCCATCTGAGGAGTGGCCAGTGAAGTTATCACTAGGCTGTAATGTAAACACTGCATTTTCTCTGAAAAGACAGTGTTTACAGCAAAAAGCCTGAAGGTAATGTTTCTACTCACCAGAACAAATTTAATAAGCTGTAGTTGTTCTGGTGACTATAGTGTCCCTTTAATGGAGACTGTGTGTGCCACAGCTTGGGGAGGTGTGGTTAAAACTACATTAACAAAATCAAAAAATAACTCCTAAATGGCAGAGAGTTGAGCGAGAACAAGGAGCATCTATGCTCCAAAATAATTGAGCTCTTGGTGCTAAGTGTCCCTGTAAGATTTCACTATTTAACAAATTCTTCATTTTTTTTTTTTTAGAATAAGTCTGGACAAGATAATGGTTTCACCCTTCGACTACAGACTTTCTTAAACAAGCCTACCTTACCCCTTGGTTCAGGAGGTAATACCTACATTTTATTTAACTTCATCTGCCATGTTATAATTTTAATATTTTTTTCACAGAAAAAAATGGGTTTTTGGGGCACACCCAGAACATGCATTTCCAAGCAGTGGTGCTGCCGTAAACTACAAAACATATACAAAATACAGTTGAAGGAACAGCGCACACAAACAAAAATAAAGCTTTACATTTAACAAGGCTACTTAAAATCACCTATATTCGCAAATAAATATGGGGATTCAGTTCCACCATATGGCCATATTGTGTTAAGCCCACCACTACAGAACCCCAATATCAGTGGGTCCTACACCGTTAGCATGTTGGGGTACTGTGATGTAGTGGTGGGCTAAACACAAATATGGCCATATGGTGGAACTAAATCTCCATATTTATTTGTGAAAATATGCAATTTTAATGTAAAGCTGTATTTTTGTTTGTGTGTGCGCTAGAACTTGACTTTCATACATATTTCATACATATTTTTTAGCACTGGTGTATTATTTAACTTGGTAGATTTAAAGAGACAAAATATGCTGTAAACTGCCCAGATTTTTAATGCATGGTATAGATGTAATGAATGTGTAAAGTGTATAAATAAATGGTAAATATAAATAAGTAATGTGACTGTCACTTTTGTATATTTTATAAAGATTAAATCTTTTTGCAATGCTTATATTGATCATGAAGAAATTAATTTGAAATTCTAACACAATCAAAAAATATCATAGAACAAAATAGGCACTTCTTGTCTTATGGGAAAAGCCAAAATTGACAAAAACCTTAATTTTTTTTTTTAAATGTGCCAGGGTCTGTTGCGATCAGCCTCCATAGGAAAAGACATCTTCTTGCTTATTGGCAAGTAGTTCTGTGGAGGGGTTGGTGTGATATTCTGTGGACCTCTGTGCTGTACTTTCACTCATACGTATGCACAAACAAGTATCTTTTTCAAGCAGACCTATCCCAGACCAGGAAGAGGTTCCACCAATCAGGTCCCTTCCATTGTTGTCTATAGATTTTCTTTTTCATCCCATAAAACCATGTGTACCAGAGTTTTAAGAGAGATGTGGTATATTCTAGAGCAGGCTTCCCCAAACTCCGGCCCTCCAGATGTTGCTGAACTACAACTTCCATGATTCTATGAATGAAATATATAGGCTGAGAATCATGGGAGTTGTAGTTCAGCAACATCTGGAGTGCCGGCATTTGGGGAAGCCTGTTCTAGAGCCTCCGTTCCCCTCAAGATCAAAGTGGTATGCCTGCTGTCTGTTTATTCACTTGGTGTAGCAATTATCTTATCTGACTTTACATATATTGCCTTTCGTGCACATTTTAGAGTGGCCTTTTATTGTGGCCAGCATAAGACACACCTGCAATAATCATGCTGTCTAATCAACATCTTGATATGCCACACTTGTAAAATAGATGGACTATCTCTGCAAAGGAGAAGTGCTCACTAACACAGATTTAGACAGATTTGTGAACCATATTTGAGAGAAATAGGCCTTTTGTGTACATAGAAAAAGTCTCCTTTGAGTTCAGCTCATGAAAAATGGGGGCAAAAACAAAAGTATTGTGTTTGTTCATATATAATTATGAATACTAAAATACACGTGGTGTGTGTGTATATGTGTGTGTGTGTGTATATATATATATATATATATATATATATATATATATATATATATATATATATATATTATTTTTTTTATTTATTTATTTTTTTCACTGATTGCTTGACTAACATTTTTTTTAATATCATTTCAACAGCAGGGGGTCAGTTTAGGCAGTCCCCCTGCAGGCAGCTGCATAGCCAGTTTATGCCTGCCATGTGATCTCTCTTTGAGAGCGATCACATGCCCCCAGGTTCCTAAATTGCAGAGGGGGGACTGCCTGAGCTGTCAGGCACTCCCCCAGAAGCAGATCACGGAGGTGAGTATATTTCAGCTACTGGGGCCGTTAGGGTGTTCAATGCCGCCATAATTACTTTAAAGCCCATTATAATGGGGACGGCATAGAACACCCTAACTGCTTTAATGAGTTAAAAAAAAAATTCAATTTTGTTAATTATTTGCTTTTGTATTACACAGGCATGTTGTGATGCTGCCGCCTACCCCATGTGTTCCTTATTATGATTGAGAGAGACAGCATATGAGAAGAGCAACAGGAGAGAAAAATAAGCTTGGCAACAGCATCCATTACAGATTATAGGGAGGCAGTACAGTGTCTCGAGAGACCAATTTGGAGAGAATTACAATAGTCCATACAATAAATTACAAGAGAATGGACCAGTTCCTTGGTAGCATCTTGTGTGAGAAAGGGGCAGATACAGGCAATGTTTTGGGGAAATCGTCAGGATTTGGCGACAGACTGCATATGAGGCAGAAATGTGATGCCAGAATCAAAAATAAAATACCTCGCCTGCAAGCACAGGCTGATGCACATGCCACCAACTTGCAGGGACAGCAAAAGATGAGAATTATTATTCTATGGAGGAAAAATAGGAGGCTTAGTTTTTGACAGACTGAGTTTTAAAAAGCACAAGGACATCCAATCAGAGAAGGAAGAGCGGCAACTGATACTTTATAGGACAGCGGGAGAAAGATCAATGAAGGAGAGTTATATGTGGGTGTCATCAACATACAGGTGGTACTGAAATCTAAAAGAATTAGTTAGAAAAGTTTACCAAGAGAGGCAGTGTAGAGAGAAAACAGAAGGGGGCTGAGAATAGAGCTATCTGAGACTACAACCGAAATAGGATGAGGGAAGGAACTGTTACCGGAAAAAGGAGACAATGAAGGACTGTTGAGAGAGCTAGGACGAGAGTCAAGAGTTTGGAGAAGGAGAGGGTGTTCAACAGTGTTAAAGGCAAGAGAGAGGTCTAGAAGTATTAATATAGAGTATAGTGGCCTTTACATTAGTTACTTTAGTCAGAACATTGTAAATGGTCACATATTGTTTCCTTATTCATTTATAAATTCTTGCATCATCCAGGTAGTGTTAGCTTATTTATAGAACTTATATTGTTGACCCATGCCATCTGTTATAAATGTTGAGCCAACCAATGAAGTTGAAGTTTCTCTCTGTCTGTACATCATAGCATGGCTATAACATTTCAAATAGTAATAATTGTTTTTGTTTTTTTACATTATAATGCACGTTTCACTTTTCGGTTTGCCATCAATCTAAAATATATTCTCTTAAAGGCAACCAAACAAGTTCATTTGGCCAAGAAAATCTCAAAGAGAGTGGAGAAGTTATTCAAATTGTAAAAGAACCAACAGCTCATCGTAATGAACGTGTGTGTGGTGGAAAAAGTAAAAAGAGAAAGAGACCCAATAAAGATGCTGTACCAAAGAAGAAATTTAAGAAAAAAAAGAGTAAGTGTGTGTCTTAAGAATAACAAAATTTAAAACAAGCTTATTGCCAACAATTAAAATTGTAATGTTGTAAGCTTACAGAACCCCAGAATAATCATATTGCCACCCAAAAATATAAGCCAAGTTTCAGCAGAGATGACGTACATTAAGTTTTCAGAAAGGCCTTTTTTTGACAAGCTGCTCTAAACTTTTGACACAAACCAGTGGGACAGCAACTATATATCTGTAGTGGCTGTGGTACTTAGACTCTTTCCTTCTTAATGAAATGTAATTTCAAACAATGGGGACCCTCTGAATTTAGACTGTAAACCCAGTATTGTGTCCTTACCTAGACGTTAATTTCTTTGGATTGACAAATTGACAAAAGCACAAGTGTTTAACCCTTAAAGATTCATAGGACCAAACATTGCATTATTATATACTGTATAACCACAATATAGGACACTTTGGGTTAAAACTGTTGACTTTGCCTGAAAATTATTTTGTAAGTAAATATGATCCAGCAAAGTAATTATTAGATTCTGGAGTTAAACTTGTAGATTACGCAATGCAGTGTACCTATAATCTTAATTTTATTAAGGACAGGAGGCGAATATTTTGCATTAAACTGTAGCAGCACAGATTTTTTAGATTTTTTTTTTTTTTGTTGTTATTTTATTTTATATTTTTGCTGTGCAAAGGATAGGTACAAACAAGCTTGAGGTACCCCAATGGCAATCCACTAGCGGCATATAAAGCTTTGCAATCAGGGTAGTAGATTGGATGTGCACAATTTTATATTAGATTAATAGACATGTGTGAATATTCAAGATATAGTATAGTATGTGAAGACTATGCTAGACTTTCTGATGCTGACTAAAATTGTATAACATGCTAGCTGGGTATATACTAACAGGCTAGTAGCGGATTTAACCCCTGGAACGCCTCCATTTTTGTATAGCTTGTGTAGACATAGGCAGGCAACTAAAACTCACTCAGACATAAAAAGAACTAAAACACAGGTTTAACGATATTGTCTGTCTGGGTACAGACGGCTTAAGTGTAGTAGTGTGTCCTGGGGGACACACGGGTCAGCCAATGCCTCTGCTTGGTATAGCCATAAAGTCCCTGGGAGCTACTGAGTTCGCCCCAGTGCGTTTCTGTGGCAGTTCTGGGCGTGGATTACGTTCAACATCCCGCTTGCCTGGGGGCTTGCGACAATAGGGTCTCAGAAACAAGTCCATGTCCTTCTCCTCTTAGAGGTGGCTGAAGCTCTGGTTAGTCGTTTCTCTTGCGGGGTCTGTGCTTCTGCCTCTGTGAGGGGTGCTTTGGGTGGGAGACCTTGCTGGCTCTCTGCCTGGGTGTGCTGGGTATGTGCGGCTTAGGTGTTTGGTGGGTGGATGGGCCCGACGGGGCCTCTCGCACGCCATCTCCTGTTCGCCTCCGTTTGGTCTTCTGTCCCCCAGCTGCTGCTTTTGCTCATACCTCCAACCGCTGCCAGAAACGGGCAAATATCTCGTCCAGGTGCTGTAGCATGCGGTCTGTTGTAGCACACCCGTCCTGCTCGGCCGGCAGCTGCCGAGAGGGTACCTCCGCCATTTTGGGTGGTAGTGTTGTTTCTCAGGTTTTTGCGATATCAGCTGTCTGCTATCATCAAGGCTGCTATGTGTGGACTGGGATGACCCCTGCTGGTCCTGGGGGGAGGAGGGGGGAGAAAGGTGTTTCACCAGAGTCCCAGTCACTGCTTATGTGCCTGGAGAGCAGCCGTCTCTGCGTGACTCAGTCTCATGTAGGCCGCAAGCTTTGGTGTGTCAGGTTGGCTGTGCTGGAGCTCGAAAGAGGCACTATTCAATGTAGCAGCCTCTCCCTGTTGTGGGTATTGTGGTCTGCGGTCTGTGAGTGTCGATGGCCGGGTGTAGTACCCTGTTTTTTGTCCCCAGACGTGGGAGCTCATGCTGAACACATCTGTGCTGCTTGGCTGCCTGGCTCCATCCCCCAGCAGCACAGATTTAACAAAGTTTAGTGAAAAAAACATATTGCAACAGGGAATAAAAAGCCCCTCCCCCTTTAGCTCTTTCTTTGATGCTATATAACCAGAAATGCATCCTTAACCCCTTAAGACCGCAGAGTGTTATATGCCGTCCTTAAGGAAGCGGCTCAAAACGCTGCAGGGCGGCATAGAACGTCCCCGCGATCTTATGTACTTACCTGGTCGCCGGCGATCGCGTTATGGGGACTCACCTGGGAGCCCAGGAAGTCCCCCTTCTTCCTCTTCGGTCCCTCTGGGCTATGTGATCGCGAGGTCCTTGCGAGGACCTCGCGATCACATAGACGGCATAGCCGTCAGAGGCATTGCCAGCAGGGGGAGTGCCTGTAATGACAGGTACTCCCCCTGCTGTCTGGAGAAAAAAAAAAAAAAATGTTATAACAGTGTCAAATTAAATAATATATACTTAGATCATATACATATTATATATATACACATACACATATACTAAGTTTTTTTAATATTCATAGGTATATAATTATATATATTCATATCAAAGTACACGTACAATGATATTGACTAAATATATAATTATCTTTATATATATATTTATATATAATATAAAATAAACAAATATGTAAATACATAAACAAATTAAAAAATAAATATACATGTGTAATTTCATTCTAATTGTATTTTAAAATTAATATATATATATTGATATCAAAAATACATGTAGAACGAAATAATATATATCTATATACATAAGTATATACGTATATATCACTATATATATATATATGTATTTATATATATATATATGTGTGTGTATATATGTATATATATATATACCTATATATAAATAAAAATAATTTTTGAAAAATTATATACACACGCACATATATTAGTTCTACGTATATATTTATGTAATAATTTTACATAATTAGGTCATTTTATTCATTACAATTTGCAAGACCTACCTGACAACCCAGGCCCAAAGTTCAGGGAATTTAATTTGCTAGCACTCCAGTGTTGAGCGAACCAGCCTGCCGTTAGGTTGTTGATTCCTGGTAAGTACTCTGCTCGTAGAATGATGTTGCACAGTAGGCAGAATCGGTATATGTCCTTTGTTCAGGGGTTTGGGTTTTTCATGGAAGTCAATTCCAGTGAGGTTTGCTGCTGCTGGGGTTCCGGACAGGCTGCCCAGCATCCCTGTAGGGCTGGTGAAGAGACCTTGGTTCCAGCTGCACCGGCCAACTGGCTGTCCTCCCAGGACCAGTCTATGAGGACCCCTGTTTCTGGAACTGGTAGTGAAGCAGGGGGTAGAGCAGCTAGATCTCCCCATCCGGAGTGTGGCAGGTCTGGGTCAGCCACCCAGCTTCCCTGCTCTGCAGGCACAGGGACCACAGTCCCATCTGCACCCTCCACACCAGTGGTCCTACCTTCTGAGGATAGGCATTGCCGCTGGGGAGCGAGACTGATTGTTTCCGCTCCCTGCAGGGTACACTGTTGTTGAACAGGAAGGCCAACTACAACTACTTCTGCTGAGGGGCCGCTACAATGTTCCATTCGCTAGAGTCCCCCACCTACAGTCTCTTACCTTAGTTTGGCCAACCAAAGCTTGTGTTCCCTCCTATCTTGTAAGTAGGTAGCCACTAGAATTTCGAGTGCCCTGAAAATCTCCACCGAAACATCAGAGCAAAAAAAATACAGTCGTAGACACATCGCATGACGGAACTCCGCATCCTTATATGGGGAGGTTGCCCGAGGGCTAGCTCACTCCATCCTGCTGAGTTTCTTCGCTAGCGCTATCCCTCTGGTTTATAATCCAAACGATTCCGGTGTCTCCAGGATGCTTCTCTACTTGCTAGGAAGCCATCCCACCGCTGCCACCAGATGTGGCGGTATACCCTCTTGAAGATGGGTTTCTACTGCCTGTTGTTGCCCCTTCCTAGTTGTGATAGCTCCAGAGTGATTATAGCTGCCTGTGATTATAGTATTGCTGAAGGGGTAACCGCATTATCACCCAAATACAAGTCAAGGCTAGTGAAGGGTGAAGAATAACTGTTTAATCCCAGCCAAACGACTCACATTTATACAGAATCTGGTACAGTAGATACTCTCCAAAACACTCTCACAAACACACCCACAATTAAACCACAAAATGCATTGTTATCGTGACTCATCAATAAATGTACAAATATGAAAAACCATAAAAATGCATATATCCCGCATAGGAACCCCCATAGTCTATACATCCCCGGATAGCCTGGATCTGAGCGCCCAACATATCTGAAAAGCACTCCGATCCCACGAACATAGCCAAAAAAACACTGGGGTAACGTTCTGAGCAACTGCACGCAAGGCTCCTTCGCAAAACAGTTTCAAGGATTCAGTGGTAGGGGCCGGTCAACTTTGGGAGTTCCATGCGAACAAAATACCGAACACACATTCTGGCTGAAACAACACTCCCCTGACGTGTGGCAAAGAAGCAGGCGTTCGTTAAAGTTCAGCTGTGTTTAGGAGTTTCAGTATCCGATTTTAGTTCCATGTGATCAACACCGAAACACTGCTGCCTGCATTCTCACGAAAAGATGTCCGCCAACACAGTTCCCACATGCATACGAATGGCGAAAAATAAATTACTCTCATAGCGGGGAAATATTGCTCAATGGAAAATGTTTAATATCTTTTTATGGACGTAATAGAGGTTGAAGTCACAAAGGTCATACATAACTTTGGCTTAATAGAGGGTAAAGTCACAAAAGTCATTCATAACTTATCTATTTTGAACTATGAACAAAACGGCAAAATTATAATTTTCTTGCTTTGTTTTTCCACATATACAGCTTATATCATTCTGTTATTTCTCATGTATACCTGTGGTAATAGTAAATGTTTTTTAACTCTAATTTATCTTTGAATAATATTCGGTTCAGACACAAACTACATTTTAATTTAAGTGATGGTATAGATTCACTTACTTTCAGGTGAAATAAGTGTACAGGAGAAAGTGAGGAAGAATCGTTACAATGATGAGGCAGATCAAAGTGCATTACAAAGAATGACACGTCTTCGAGTGGCCTGGACAGCACAGGAAGATGGCTTACTAATGCTTTGTCGAATAGCAAGTAACATCCTCAACAGAAAGGTACATCCTTAAAAATTAAACCCAAAGATAAGTTCAGGCACCTCTAATACATCTAATTAGACCAATGTTTAAAGGAACACTCCAAGCTCCATAACCAGTACTGGGCACTGTAGTGCACCCCAGTGAAAATAGTCAGACCATATAGTAACAGTTTCACCTCGTCCTTGGAGTTTGCTACGCACCACATCCTGCCTCTACTAAATCACTAGACAATGATTTAAATTACGGACTAGTTATTTTAAATTAAATCCATCCTGGTGTGCACTAAGCATCTCAACACATTATAGGGCTGGCATAAAAATTAATTCAGGACTTCTTATTGTTTCTAGTCCGGCCTGATCTTTGAGGCCAAAACCAAAACAAATGTGTTGTATTGATGCATATAGTTCTTGTAGATAAGTTTGGCATGATCTGTCTATCATAGTGACATTTATCAACCACATATGTTAAGCACACATGTCATTTTCAGGCTGCAATGTTAGTCCTTTTTTTAAATATTGCACTACATCTGTTTTTTTCCAGTCTAATGGCAATATCTGAAATAACCCAACCCAAGCAATTAGAGCTAGTTATTACCAACAATTTTAATTTCCCCCTGCTTGCTTGCTTGCTTGTTCTGAATTGCAAATCATTCCTACAAAAAGTCATTCATTCTCAGGTTTGCAGTATGCTTCTCCTGATCTCCAATCTGATTTTTAAAAAAGCAACTCTCACACTTGCTGCAATTTTTCTCCATTTAACACTTATAATTAATCCAGTAATAAAATATGTAGAACTGATGTACAATATATATTTACCTATCTCATTAAAAGAACTCCAGTGACTGTGCAAAACAAGTTGAGCAGTTTGCCTGACTTTCACATTAAAAGGTCACTTATGCTTAAATGATTCTGGTAAAATTAATTTCAAACCTAATCCTAAACAAATCTAATATTAAACCTAATACTTACTCTAAACATAATCGTAATCTAATTCCAAGGATTTCACCATGCTAGTATCTGTACTGATATTAGCAAAGGGGATTCTAAAGTAAAACTGAGAGCGGTATGTTGGTGCCATATACTAGCTAATTTTAGTATGACAGGCATATACCTGTTAAACTGAAAATAGCACGTTCAATGCATTGTAATCGGTGCGGAGTAGCTGGACCAGTACCAATCAAAATGGCATTGTGGGCCTGTTTAGATCTTTGGGGACTCCCAAGAACAAGCTGCACAGAGAGAATCACCGTGGCTGCACTTGGTCACTCAGCTATGGCATTCTCAATGAATGTAATGGGCTGTATCCAGTACTAACGTTCAGCGCTGCAAACAAGCATTGGTCAGTATGACCCTTTAATTTTGGCCCCAGCTGACAGAGTGGAGTCCCAGGTGTAAAATAATACCTGGGATTCCCAGGTACCCTGCTTGTAAAAAAAAAAAAAATCCATCAAAGCTGCATTATATTTGCACACATTATTACTGTCAAAACTGTGGGAAAAAGTTATCTTTTTACAATTCTTTTATTTTTTATAATGAGAATAGATTATATTCTAAATAATAATTATATTCTTAATCCTTAATATAGAGTTGGCGATGAAGATACGTGTTATTCTAACGCAAGCCCTTTTTGTCCTTTAAAACAATTGTATATTATATTTTAGATGAAATTGCGGTTGAACACATAATATGCTATTGACTTTAAAAGGACACTATAGTCACCAGAACTACTATAGCTTAATGTAGTTGTTCTGGTGAGTACAATAATTGCCTTAAGGCATTTTCATGTAAACACTGTCTTTTCATAGAAAAGGCAGTGTTTACATTGCTCCATAGGGACACCTCCAAGTGGCGGCCACTCAGATGGCCACTGAAGGTGCTTCCTGGGGCAGTTTTGCACAGTAGGCAGCACTGCCGTTCAGCATCTCCATGCTCTGCATGGAGACACTGATTTTTCTTCATAGAAATGCACTGATTCAATGCATCTCTATGAGGAGGTGCTAATTGACCAAAACAGAGTTCGGCCCTGCCTCCTTGCCGATTTCAGCCAATCCCTATGTTTGTGGCTGAAATCCCCGATTTCAGCCAATCTCTATGGGCAGGGACGTATTAGCCGCGAGGCAAACAAGGCATTTGCCTTGGGCGGCATTTTTCAGGGGGCGGCAAAAAACTCCGCCCCCAAATGCCTAGTTAGCCTTGCGGCTAACAGACATGCTGGGCGGCTGGCGAGGGAGCTCTTCCCCTGAGCAGTCAGCTCAGAGGAAGTGCCAGCGGCCAGCCCATCAGCCCGACTGGCAGCCACTGGACCACCAGGGAGAAAGAGGAACCCCACCCCCAGCACTCCCAAAGGAAAGGAGGCTGGGGGAGTTAAATAAAAAAAAAAGTGTTAATGTGAGTGTGTGTGTGTTTGACTGTGTGTGTGTGTCTGACTGTGTGTGTGTTTGTGTCTGACTGTGTTTGACTGTGTGTGTGTGTGTTTGTCTGAGTGTGTGTGTGTGTGTTTGTGTCTGACTGTGTGTGTTTGACTGTGTGTGTTTGACTGTGTGTGTGTGTGTGTGTCTGACTGTGTGTCTGTGTGTGTGTGTGTGT